TCACTCTGAGAACCTTCAGTTTCTACATGCCTTACATGGTGAGCTGCACCTCCCTTCTTTCTGACGTCTGGTTTACGCGGCCTCCAGCTCCTCGGCCACTGGTTTGCTTCTCCTTAGTTTTACACACAGCCTCAAAATGTCCTGATCCATTACACTTCCTGCACTGTTTCCCTCTCGCTGGACATCGACGATCGTTGGCTTTATGTTCCGTATATCCACAACAAAAACATTTGACTTTTCTTGCGCTTGCATCCCCTTTTTAATTCGTCTTTCCGCTCACACTATTCACTTCACTGCGGACCTCACCACTTCCTCCTTCGATTGAACGGGCCTGTTTTTCAGATTCCTCTATAGAATTAGCAATTTCCCTTAATTGTGGCAGTGTGAAGTTTCGACCTTTCTGAAATAACTTCCGACGGAGTTCGTGCGACAACCATTTGCTTGTCACTTGATCACTATTTTGCTCATCTACAGTTGGAGCTTCTTCGAATTCGCAGGTTTGGGCTTTTTGTCTCAGTGTAGTAATAAACTGTTCGACGGTTTCGTTTGCCAGTTGACTTGTTTCGCGAAAACAAAGCCTTTCATACGGAACATTCGCTTGCGGTTTGAAATATTTATTCAAGGTCGCCTTAGCTTTCTGATAGCTATCTGATCCTTCTTCTTCGGTCAACGTGAGATCAATATCTTGCACATTTAATCCGGCCGTATGCAGCAATAAAGCCTTCTTCTGATCGATATTCTTGACTCCTTTTCCCGTCGCAAACAATTCAAAAGCTCGAAGCCATCTTTCCCACCGTGCGGAAATACCAGCAGTTTCTGAACAGTCAAACGGCTTTAATCCTTGTGCATCGCTTAAATATACACTTGCCATCTCGATTAAACTTCTTCAAATGACCATCAAATGTAGTGGATTGATTCGGATTTAACCACCAACACACACACCATTGCTGCTCGTGCACACATGTGTATTCAATCTTCATAACAGTAAGAGCGGATGCTCCATAATAGAAACATGGGGGGTTGGGACGGTGGACCTAAATATTCACATATACTACAAAAAGTACGAAAAACGAGCCTTTGGGGTTGAAATATCAACTTTTGTGCGTTTCGAAATTGGAAGTGTTGACACAAGTACCGCCCGCCTACCATAAAAATTCCTGAACATCGATGGTGTTTTACAGAGATTTCCTTCAATAACCCAAGCCCAAGTCTAAATGTGTGATTTAAATAGCATGAAGAGAGTTTGGGGTTATTCCACATGTTAAATATTGCCTTCGAAAATGAGTACCGAACTTAAGCTTTTGTTATCCTGAAAATCTATCCCTCGTTATTGAATTATTACAATGCGACGAGCCTCGCTATTGCTCTGAAAGTATCTTGTAGTGAAAGAAAAAGACTTTTTCTGTGCTTAGAAATGTCCACATTTCTCCATGCGGCTTCGTTTGGGAAGGCGAGGAAAGTTGATGTTAAAGAATTTCAGGTTAAAAATTAGGGCAATCTGAGACTCCGACATCGAAAACCGATCTTCAATTTTTTTTCAAAAATAAAAGGCTTCTGACAGGAACAATCTACATCAGGTTTCTTTCTACCTAAAAGCTATCTATGGACAAAAAATGAAAGAAATTGATTTTTCAACTTTTGCCACGACATTAAGATTTTGCTCGATTCTTCCTGACCGTCGCTCTGAAATTTGCCTGTAACACTGAACTCGGGCCAAAAAGTTTGGTTGCATCAGATCAATGAATGATACTTTTCTTCTACAAAACTAGCCAAAAGTGCAAATTACGATATCGATGCTTTTTTCTAAAACAAAAAGAAAACAAAAAAAAAGATGAAAATTATGCTGGTAATGACGAATTACTCCAAAAATTATGCTAGCACCATAGACAAGGGCCTAGATACTGGAAAGGATATGTCTTATTTTGGTATGGATGGCTTTATCACTTTGTAAAAGAACGACAGCGCCAATCCTCATTTCAATATTTCCGCTTGGTATATCTGAGTTAGTATTTTATTTCATGTTGTACGGCTGTATGGTCACGTGTTAACAAAAAACTCTCTGATGGATGGATAGCAGATTCTCTTACAGTCTTCACTGGAAAATTTTTATACTACATTTGATCGAAGTCCACCAGGGATACGATCTTTCCATTAACACCAAACTAGAAATATGTTTCTAACCTCCCGAAGCTGTGACGTGGCAGCAGTATAAATAAAACATGACAGTGCACCCAATGGGAGTCGGGTTGCTTGGAAACCTTAATGCAACTCGACGTCATGCACAATCGAAGACTTCACTGCGACAACCAATCGAAAGTCAAGAAATATAAATATATATAAAGCCGGCTCGTGTTTCTGCCCCGCTGTGTGATCTACGCACTTTCCTCGCGCAATGCGAATTTTCAAAAAAATTATTAACTCGCTCCGCGAGGAACGAGGAATCTATTTTGAATTAGAGAAGGAAGAAACAGGCGTACCTTTTGTTATGTCGCTGAGACCGCTCGTCACTTTTCTACGCACGTTCCTGAACATTAACACTATTCATACCGGGCTTTTGTTTGCTCCCTACGATCGGGGGGGCTCCGGAGGGCCCCCCTCTTTACTTCAAGACCGCTCATGATACTGTCACCAAATTAACACAGGATAATGTACTCATCATTTCCAATGATTGACACAGTGACGTAATTAAACGTTATTTTGAGGTCATACTGTTGAATTTTTTGACAGAATCCAAACTCCACCAAATTTTTCCCCTTAAAGCGAAAAATACTTATTGCTGCGGAGCGACCGTAGGGAGCGAACAGCAACATAATCAGGATTTAAGGGAAATATATAAGGGGCGACGAATTCTCGAATTCATCACTTTTTACCACAATGCATTGCATTTAACCACACTTTTTACCACAATGCATTGCATTTAACCAGAGTGCATTGCGCCACGAACAACTCAAATAAAAACACGGGGAAGTTCGCATCGTTCGCTGCCCAGACTCAGAGTTTTCTTCGTAACAAATTTTCTACAGCACGGTTACAGGTCTTACCAAATTAAGACACGCAGGAGTCTTTCAGATGAGTAAGATGGTTAACTTGGGGATTGGATTTCAATTCAAGAGCCTTTGACTCGTCCAGGTGTTAAACCTGACGAGAAGGTGAGCACTTGCTCTTCGACTCCGCAACACGGGGGATATACAAATTCCAGCTTGCTAGGAGGTGATGTGAAAGTGAGAAAATGTCATGCCATGCTACTCTTAAGAACCTGTATGAGCTGAAAATGGATGTGATTTGGACCATTCTCTTCAAAATGACCGTAGGGGAAATCGAGATAACAAAACATATGTTTTGTGTCCTACGTTGCAGACGAGGACGAGTATCGGCGTTTTGAAAAGCATAATTATGTTCTTTCATTCATTCATTGCCATGGAATATGCGTTTACATTGTTTTTTTACTGTTAATAGCTCGATTAATGCGGCTGGCGATCATCTTGCCGGCGGAAGTTTCATGGGAAAGGGATTAAATTAAAGACTTTTCCAACAGTACGTAATCAGTCTCTGTGGTGTAGTGGTTAGGTGTAGTCGCGTCGAATCGATGGTGCCGGGTTCGAGTCCTACCGAATTCTTTTTTTCCTTCTTTCTTTTTTTTCCGTTTTTTGTGTTGTTGTTTTCTATAAACATATAGCTAAATAACTGTTACTTAATAAAGTGCAATAAACAGCAAGAAAAGCATCGTGTTTCCAGAGAAAAGATAGTACACCGTATATTAAATATATGGATAAACAATCTGAATTTCTATTATTTCCTACAATTTCCTGTGGGAAAATCAGAGTTGATAACCACTTGATCATTTCCTAAACAACGTTCCCACGAGTTCTTTCTATAGACTGATAGTAATTATTCTAGTACTTTCCAACATGTAAATGGGACATTCAATGTCATTTTCGATTCTTTTAAGTCCCACTGCCTAACTAATGCCACTATCAACAGAATGTGCCGCAGCATTACTATCTTTTAGATACCCTAGTTATAAATAGCAAGTTTTCTGATAAATCAAAAAGTTGGATAGCATATTAATAATCTTTAACAATAGCAGTGAAACTACAAATTAGACCTCTCATGTGAAACTCCTCAGAAAATTCTGAGCAATGTCGCTCCAACGTTTCCCTGAGTGCTTTGATTAAGAACCAGTTGATTATTCTACCAGCACCTTTCAACTCAAGATAGAAAAGGCCCTGTTTATATCATTCGAGAAAAGCTCCATCCTACCTCCAATCAACAACCTCATCATTTTAATTTGGGGTAATCACTTTCATTTTCCACTTCTATCATCCTCATTACAACTGTTTTCCAGGTTTTATGAATACTTAATCAACTCCCTTAAACCAGAACTGAAGAAGGCAGATTAGAAGTTTTTGTCGAAACATGCAGTGCGACTGAATTAAAATTGTTGTATGTGTTGTTTTTGAAAGTTACTACCAGCCCACTGCTGTCTAGACCTTTAGAATACTTTTGTTGTTATAATTAGAAGATATTCAATCCAAGATGGTTAGCAAACTTTTAGTAAAGCGATATAATTAACAATTATTCCTCGAGCCCGAATGGGCTCTGAGTCAATAACCTAAGCGGCTGAAGGCTGAATGGGCTATTGACTCAGAGGCCATGAGGGCGAGAGGAATAATAGTTTTGGTAAAATCCAACTAGTTGGTCAAAAATATCGAGACAAAACAACTTTAGCTAGCAAAACGCGTTTCAGCCGCCATTGTTTTGGTTTCCAAAGCCGGCGCTTTTCGCTACTAGTGGGCTATAACACATAGCCTAGTAGCAGCTAAACCAGTCAGAACGCAGCATTGATAATAGACCACTAGTTGGAATTTACTAAAATGTTTTAGACGTGTTGTAGAGTGGTCATATTGTTGCATGAAAGCATATAACAAACAATTATTCTAGTGCTGGTTTCTGATCATAAAGGTGGGATTAATCCTGTCTGCTTTCTCTATCTTTTTTGGCAGTTTCTTACCCATCCGGCGGTGCACAGTGAATTGAATCGCAAATGGCATGGTCGCTCGTTAATGGATAAATGTAAAGGCTGGGAACTAACTATTTTAAAGTTTTGGTGTCTTTTCGACCTTGTGTTTTCTCCAATCCTACTTGCTCTATTCTCTCAACGAAAAAACTCCAGAGGTACAGTGTTTTAACTTATATGCTAATTTCAATGGAGAAGAATTGCAATGATGTTTTTGATAAAGCCTTTCTGTTACTTAGAGCCTTTCTGCTCATTAGTGGTTCGTGAGTGTTCACACCAGCGCATTTCTCCTGGTCTTACCGATGTAACTGTCACCGCAAGAACAATAATCTCCTTTAGGAGCCTTTATAATGTTAAAGACAGAAACATGCACAAATCACATATAGTCTGTAAAGGATATTGTTCTTGCGGTGACATTTACATAGGTGAGACCGCGAGAAATGTGCAGGTGCGAATTCATAAACATTCAAACACATCTAATCACCCTGAACCTGCCCGTCACCTCCGCGAGAATTCTTCGCATTCGTTTGGCTGGCATATACTCTGCACGGCCAAATCTTTCCATCAGCGCAAAATCTTTGAAGGCCCTAATGATTCAACAATTAAAACTAAGTTTCAACAGACAAATTAACTCCTATGTTGCGAAACGTTTCCCATCCGGAATTACCTAAGGATATAAATGACCCAGGGCAAAAAAACGATCATTTTTTTTTTTCTGGTTCTAAACTTAAAATTATTTTTCCTGTAAATACTTCAAACATTTATTTGTTTTCAAGTTAAGTAAGGTGCTTGCCTTCCCAAAATATCGGTCAAAAACGGTTCTCAAATACTGTCTTCGAGACGCACCTGCTTTCTTAAGCCACCCTCTCGATTTAACAAGCTGGTGGGATACCTCTAAAGTTTCATGTTTTTAATTAGCGCATCCATCTCTGATAAGTATCCCACCTATTCCTGCATTGCCATTAATTAATCCTCATGGTTTACGGGACAACTCGCCCCGTGTCACAAGCATTGGACAAGTGAAGAAATTATTAATAGAGCTTAACTCAAAAAAAGCAACAGGCACAGACAATATCAGCGCTTGGACTTTAAAGAGGTTTGCTGAAGAACTGGCAGTCTTAGTTCATGATATCATTTGCGCAAGTATTATTGAAAGGAACTACCCGACCTTGTACAAGCATGTTCTTGTTAGTCCTGTTCCTTACGTCCACCCTCCTAACGACCTTGAAACAAACTTCAGGAAGATATCAGTTTTACCTGTCCTGGGCAGAGTCCTTGAGAAGGTACAAATAATGCTGGATAAGGATGCCTTTAGAGTCAAAGAAAATAAACATGCTTTCATTTATGGTCGCTCGACCGTATCTGCCCTTGTGAACATCACGCAAACATGCTTAAACGATTCTGACAACACAACGGAGGGGGAAAAGGCCATCCATTCCTTATTTATTGACTTCAGCAAGGCCTTTGCTCAAGTCGATCACTCGTTGCTTTTGTCCAAGCTTAAAGGCAGGAACATCAACAAGTCTTTGTGGCAGTGGATACAAAGCTTTCTCCAAGGCAGAACAAAACAAGTTAAGCTTCCTGGTGTACTATCAACAACACGGACTTGCCTGGCATGTGTACCACAAGGATGTCTTATATTAGTTCAGTCAAATTGTGGTTTAATATCAAAGTAATTGCAACAGAATTTATTTCAACGTCATTTAATTGTTGGAAGGTTACTTAACAACATACTAAAAATCGTTCGATGAAACATGAAAAAAATTAACAATAAAGATGTTCAACTTTCACCAGAGGAAACCCAATTTCAGCATAATAACAAATTCAGACAAAAGAGCTGATAATTGTATTTTTTTCTTAAAAATCTTAGATAAAACATCACGAATGTACTTTGGGTAGTTTCCTGGGTCAGTGTTTCTCTTGACGGCTTTGCACAGGTTACCCAGCGACGCGTCTGTCTTCACATTCTGTTTTCTAAGGTTGTTTTCTTTTCTATGACGATATTTATAAGGGAAAATATTAGAAACTCCGTGTTAACACGGTTAAAAAATAACAATAGCAGAAATGCAGTATGTATTTCAGCAGTATAAATGCCAGGTATTTTAAATAAGAGCGGAGCAGACTGTTTAAATACTGGTGGCTAGGATCGAAAATACTAACTTGCCATTGGCTGCAAAAGTAACCAATAGCGTAGGTGTATCCTTGATCCGCGTTATGTTGTGTTTCCTTCAAGGTCAAAAGTGCTTTTTGGGCTGAACCGGTATGATAGTATCTGACTAGGTTGCAGTGATACCAGGTCACTGACATGTCGTAGTGCGTGTAAGTGTCTTTCTCAGGAGATTCGAGATATTTTCTCGTAACTTTCTCCGGCAAAATCAGTAGCCCGAGTGAGATTTCTTCCCACGAGTTATGACGGAGCACTGTCCAAAAATATTTAAGTTGTTATGTAAGCCTTAACCAGGCACTCTTTCGCTGCAGTTCACTCAACTGAAAAATTTCTGGACTGAAATGACACCGGTTTGAAACTACACGAAGTCAGATTACTGAATAAATTAAATGTTTTAAAATTTGCGTCACTTTAAATTTGGACTCGTTGGAATGCTGCTAGGGACCATTAACTTGCTGGCCGGCGTCAGATAAATAACAATTATTCACCGAAGTGGAGGTGGCTAGTATTGGAAATTTACGGAGGCCGCGAAGCGGCGACGAAAATATCCACTACTAGCCACCGACACTGAGGTGAATAATTGTTTTAGTGTATACTAAAACAGTGAGATAATTAAGCACAAAATGATGATATTTAACTCATTTACTGTTGCCAACGATTAAAATTTTGGCGCTCGATGACCGAACGGCCGCGGTCGTCGCTTTTTCTTAGCGACAAATAAAACTTTTGAAGGCGTTTGTTTAGCTCTTGCGGGGAAGTTTCTTCAAAAGGAGTTGTGAATTCTGTTTGTATTTAAAATAATTCTGTAAAAAAGATTATTAAATTTAGTTTTAAGCTTATTTATGAACAAGTCAACTAAATAAAGTAACGCAAGACTTAAGCTTAATTTGCATTTGTAAACAAAAAACTTTTTCACCGGTTTTATCGATAACTATTCAAGTCAAAAAGACAAAGCTTTACCTGTTAAAACTTCCAAACCGAACTTTCTTCATGTATTTCGGAAATAGCTTGCTTGATTAGTTGTGAAATTTCTTAGTCTGTTACGGCAGCAAACCGGGAAAGCATTTTGCTCGCAACCTACGCGAGTTTGTCGTCGCTCGCTCGGAGGAACTGGAGGTGAATCAGTGAATAGTGCAGGATATTCACTGATTGAGTAGCCAATCAGAGAGCGTGGAAAACACTATCTACTGTTTTAGTATATACTAAAGGCTTTTAATCGGCCTTTGAATGAGTTTTATTTGTGTTAAATTACCAAGTAGTAGCTAATGAGTTGATATTTTTGCTAACCCGGTTTTAAAAAATCCAGGTGTCTATGTAGATGGAAAACTGGGACTCTTTTGTTCTTTCTTGCGACTCAAGCAACCTCCTTTGCAATTATGACTCCCTACTTTACAATATGAGTGAATAAATATTCGGCTTAGGGCTTTGTCCATTTGGTTTTTTCTAGATCTTAACGCTCTGCGCTTAATGCAATTTTAGAGCTCTGATTGGCTTAGATATCATGGTAAATGAGGCATTAGTATATACACATTCAGTGATCTTGGTGATTTAAGCAATCTGATTGGTTCGCTATCTCGGACTATTCAACAATATTCACCTCCTAGCCAGTGGATAATGTGTGAGCTCGGTGTTTTTCCCATTTTTTTTAGAGAACGATCTTTTAAAAGTCGACAAAATCCTAGGGCTGACTTTTTTAAGGCAAGAAAAGACTTGGAAGGATTCAATACGGCGTTTTTCAATTTACGGGAGCTGAGTTTTGTGCTCGAGGGATTGTTTACAACTCCCTCGTATTCGCGTAGAAGAAGCCGTTTCGTGAACTCAGCGTTTTCTAACAAGAAAATTTTGGCTCAAAAATCGAAGTTGATTTATGACAAACAAATTTAAAAGGAAATGTTTGCAGAAATTCTACGTTTCAAGTAAACAGGAAAAAGAATGATACAGGAAGACGACGTCTTACCTCGAGCAACCGAGCCGCATTTTTGTCAGCACTTCATGCGAAGAACGACACAACAAACCCTTTTTGCTAGCTATAAACTTGGCGAGTCAACATAAAACAACAAAGCTCTACTTTTCTTCTCAGGTAAGGAAACAGTTCAAACTTTTGGCGGTTCCATTTAAGCCATTACCCTGTTGTTTGCGAAATGATAAATTTGTGAATTGCCTCGTTTGAAAATTCTGCAAAGATCAGTATTTTTAAACTTACGCGTGATTTGATCTGTAAATCAAATCGTACTTTTTAATGGTTTCCTCTCTGACTTTGTTGAGATCACTTCGTGTGTATATACTAAAACAATTATTCTTTTCATTCTCTGTGAATAGTGGCTTTGGGAATATTTACCCAATTTAGCCACTATTCACCTTGATTTCAAAGAATAATTGTTAATTATACCAAGTCGTTAAATATGGTAACTGTATGCGTCTGCCGAAAATATGTTGTTTTTACAAATAGGGTCGGCAAGAATTCTCGATATTTTGTGGGCGTTTTTAATAAAACAATTATTCCACTCGCGCTTGTTGTATATGAGATGATTATAGCCAACTCGGCCTTACGCCCCTTGTTTGTCTACCTATCATCTCATATCCAACGCGCTCTCGTGGAATAATTGTTAGTTATTCTCTTTGCGAAGGTAACAAATTTTAAACTTTGCTTCAAATGAAAACGTATTTCCTTCTTACCTAATTCATTAACTTAAGGATGTTGGTACGTTAACGAACATTAACGTATAGGTAGCAAAAGCCATATATTATCTAGCTAGATTTTTGAAAACTACCAAACGAAAATTGCAGCTGTTTGACTGAGATGAACCCGAAAATCACACTAGAAAAGGAAAAGATAAAATAGCTGACAGCGAGGAGAAAGAGGGTGAAGAAGAAAAAAGGCAAGTTTTTTCTTTCTAGCTTTTCGTTTTTATGTTGCCTTTTTTGGAGATAGCTTTTGAAAGAGAGAAAAAACTGTTTGCAGGAAGAGTTCTATTTTGTCTGTAACGTTATAGAAAAATCCAAGTAGGTATATCTTTTTCAACCTTGCAGCTAACAGAAATCTGACAAAAAAAAGGATACATTTTAAAAGCTAATAATTAAGTAACGGCTTTCATTTTTTAGATTTAAAGCCTTACAGACAAATTTGTCGTAATTTTAAAGCTAACGGCTCACTTTATTACTTTGTTAGCCCCCTGCTACTTTACTGTTCCTTGAGTGGAGCATGGTCTTCCCGTGCAACAGCCAACTGTGTTTGATATTTATCCTTTTTGAAAAACGTGTTTTTATCACCGAAAACAGTTTTTCCTTTTTTTAAAGTTTTCTGTTAAAGTAGCAAAGACATTTTGCGCATTTTTCGTTTGAAAGTATAATTTCAACTACTTTGGGTGTCCTGTGTTAAAAGCTAAAAATGTTTAACGCTTAATTTTGACATGTTCCAGCAAACGGAATTTGGCGGATTTTTAGCATGTTGCTACATAGATCACCCTTACGTAAATGGTGTTGAAAACAACTCTGTTTAAATTAGTTTGACGTTGAGCCTCTAAAATGCCCATATTGACTGGGCTATATCCTCTTTATTGTTCGGTATCTTTATCGATGATTTCGACAACTCTATACCTATAGAACTGCAAGGACGCGTAATGACGCGTAAGCTCGCTGACGACTGCACAACGCGCGTCTGAAAGTATACCAAATGGCGAATTATGAAATATGCAGAAGGCACTTGACGGCCTTCAGAACTAGGCAACTTCAAATAATATGCTATTGAATCCAAGGAGAACCAAGGATATGTGGATCTCGTTCTGCACAAACCCTATTGAGCCGGACCTTTCTCAGTTCTACGAATAAATGACTCGTGTTTGGAGAGGGTATCCAAGTTAAAGCTACTAGGGGTATGGCAACAAGACAACCTATGTTGGAATTACCATGTTGAACAGACAGTAAAGAAATCTAACAAGGGATTGTATTATTTGAGGGACTGTAGGAAGCAATCCTACCTACAGAGATCGGTATCACAATATATTGTATCAAGATACGCCCACTTCTTGAATAATTATACGTCCCCAGTGTGGGGCGGTTTGCCCATGAAGTACCTTGCAGAAGAGTTGCAGTCTATACAAAACAGGTTCCTAGATATCATTAGGATACCAAGAACATCCCTTCCAACGTTAGAGGACAGATGCAAAGTAGCGTCAAAGCGTGAATGAGAGAGAATTGTGAATGATATTAACCACTGCTACATCAACTATTTCTCACAAAGCCAAATACCAGCCACATCTATAACCAGGTTCAGTAGCAATACCAAAGTCAGGAACGCAAAGCCATACTAACTCGTTTTTATCAAGACCTGCAGGACTCCTCTTTTTTATGATCTGTATATTTCTACTTACCTTTATTAGAAAGAGAATTCACTTAAATACTATTTCATAGTATATGTTGTTCACTTTTAATGTAAATCCATTGTATATGTTATTTTAAAGGATGAATAAATATAGCTTATTATTATTATATAAAATATGCAGTTAGCGGACGGTATTTTTTTGGCCTGATAATGACCTAGTGTCGAAAACGATTGGTGTTTTTCGTTTTAAATATAAAATTTTTAGCCTTGTAAATACTTCATTATTAAACCCCGCGAATTTTATGGATAAATAAATGTCAATTTATTTACAGTGGCCGAAAAATATCTGGCTTACGTAACATCTCCTTACTTCAAGTTTTTCCGTGATACGCTGAGCTACACAATCTTGCTTTTGCTTCATTACGCAATCTGCCTGTCGCCTTCAACTATTGCGTTTAGTGGGTTAGAATGGACCATCCTCGTTTTCTACATGGGTCGTTTTCTGGTAGAGTTGAAGCAGATTTGGGACATTAAGGTATGGTTCAGACTATCAAGACACGAAGGGAACAAAGCTCATCAGTCAAGCTCCTGCAAGATTTTATCATTATATTGCAGGTCAGTAAAAAATAAGGTTAATGAATCCGTGCTTTTGAGGTTCCTGTCGTTTATATACTGATTGAGGCAAAACTAAAAGCGGGGCTCCCATTCAAAAACAAACTTAAGATCGTTAAAACACTGTCACGGCAATAGCGCTTTGCACTATTACTAAGAACAGGTTCTGTCATATTAGACCCTCCGCGCGACTCACACAAACGTTACATTCTACTCAAAGGCTTTGTATGAGCAACATGTGTTTCTGACATAAAAATCTTTTATACCATTTGCAATGAGCGTTTTTAACATGTTTTTTGAGCTTTATTCTAATATATAAAAGGCGTTACTGCTATAGGGAGCAAAACCTGGCCAAAGTAACTCAAATCAACGGTTAAAATCAGATAATAAAGCGACCTGGTCGAAGGCCACCTTTGAAGTCGGATCCTTAGTTCTGTCTTAGTCAGATAGCACTGAAACATCACATAAAATTTCTTACTGTGTAATGCTCCAAAACAGAAATTCTAGTTTGTTTGTGCTTCTTTCAAGCCTGTTGTATAATTTCTGCACATCAACATTTGCACAAACCGGAAATTGTATATAAGTTTGTTATGTTTGCGGCCAGGTAGGTACCACACAGTATTTTATATACTGTAGTAGCATAACAAGAGGTGCCTTCGTACTCGAAAAAAATTGAGGATCCTTTGGCTCTAAATTTAACCAAATGCACCTTTTTATAAACAGCTTTGACGCCCTGCTCTCCATACATTTGTTAGTAAAATGCCATGACATAATTTTACCCACAGTAATAACACCGCATTAGGAATAAAATCACTCATCTGTACTGTTTTTCGGGCTGTTTTTCCAGGTTTAACTTTGCTTTTGCACTCGCTAATTATTTTCAGGGTATATGTTATTGAAACAAAGCTGGATTTTGTTTCTTTTGACGATAAAAACCTTCAAACAGGACGTAACTTTGCTGGCAAACGTGATTTCCCCTTATAAAACTTTTGTACGGATCAGGTTCAATGTCTGAGTCACAGCAGGGACCAGAAATTTGAGACGTCATTAGTGAAAAGAACTATTCGCTAGACAGATTTTACCTGCAAGTGGTTAGCGACCTGTGTTCTTAAAAAGGTCAGTACGTGGTGTAAGCATCATACATTGCTTCTAGTTAATAACGTCAAACCACTATATGATGCTTACACCACGTACTTACCCTTAAAAGGGTGCCCTGCGCAAGGAACTCTGCTATCGATTTTTTTATTTTAATTGAGGACAAAGTTATTTAGCAACGTTGGTTACACCGCAAAATTGCAGAAAAATGCTTAGAAATCTTGCTATTGTGATACAATTTGCATATTTAGCATCAGACCATAAAATGTTTTTGTTTTTTCGAGCAACTTTTGAGTAACTTTCGTCACAAAAAGCAACTTTTGATTGATTTTTGATCAACTTTTTGAGAAATCACGTTAAACGTTTTGGAAAATGTCGAGCAACTTGTGGAAAGCCCTACCAATATCTCAAATATTGGCTGACCACTGAGAAAGGTACCCCTGGTATAATAAGTTTAATTTAAGGGCTTTATTGTCGTGTCGTCATTGCCATTTAAGTTAAACGTCAAAAATATTTACTGTAGAAAGCTAAAAGAAAAATAAAGAATTGACGTCTTGTCACTGATGTGACTGATCATCTTTTTTTATTTTGCCAAGATTATTGTATTTGTACTGAAAACGGATATGTAAAATGATACGATTGTTGGTATCTATGAAAAGTTTATGTTACCGAAAAATCAGCTTATCATAGAGATCGTTTTCCAGAAAAAAAAAAAAAAAAAATATATATATATATATATATATATATAATATAGTAATATAATGAATTGAAGATTTCATCAGCTATTAAAGTGCTCAATAGATAAACTAGAGCGATGTGTAGATTTGCAGAGTTGGATTATTTGGTCGAAGACATTTATTGCTACTCAGAGTTTCATGCTCCTTGCGGAGCAATCATCAGGCAACTGCTAAAAATAACGGATACATATGATACATATGAAGATATACAAAATTTGAAAATACAGAACAATGCGTAGTGGCGTGACATGCAGAAATATGATTGGTTGCTAAGCGAATACGTTCTTCAAGAGGAATTTCTTAGAATGTCTACAATTAGATATCAGTTCGCTTCTGTTGTTCGGGGTTGACATTTCGGGTTTACAGATAATAAAATATTTTTCCCATAAACACAAGTTACATCTCTTGCTTATACTAGAATATGATCGGGCCTGTTTTACCTTTCGCCATTTGATATATCTTTAAGACTCCAAATATATTTACTTAATTCAGTTGCATGCTTATACCGCTCGTTCTTAAATGAGCACACATTTGGAGTCTTAAATATATATATATATATATATATACATTTATATGGTTCTGGGGGTGCACTTAAATTTCATTGACTTCCCATTACTAGAGTTGCTTGTACATGTATCGTGGCAATAAACCGTTTTCAGTGTTTTATTCCTCTTCTAAGCTCTTTTAGAAGATATACGTTTAACTTTGAAATTTGAAATTTCATTCAACCCATTTTGGTGACGGCATCTGTTGTGACGTCATTCAACCCATTTTGGTGACGGCATCTGTTGTGACGTCATGATTTGAAATTTTTGCGTCAAACAAAATCTTTAAATTATCTGGTCAACAAATGTGCACTATCTGGCAAGTTTCATAAAGGAATGTAAAGAATACGTAAAATTAGCCTAAAGATCGATTTAAGGGGGGTTTGGCCCCACGATATTGCACAACTCCAATTGAAGCGATTTTACTTGATAGATTAATTTCTTGGATACTGATTTCGAACTTCTTTGTTTATTGTTGTCGTGGTAAAGTCGATTTTACCAAATACTGTGCCATGTCAAGCTTCAATCCAAACCCAGTTTAGATGGTGACAATCGCGATCTGACGAAGGCCTCTTCTAAGGCGAATACAAAAATGCTAGTATGGTCTTTAGAAAACTACAGCAAAAAACCTCAGTCATGTTAGTCAAATCTCCAAAGTGTGTCCCTTAAATTTACAGTCAATTTTTAAACATAAATTTCTTTTTGACTCAGCCAATTCATAGCAACGTAAGCATGAGTCATAAAATTACTCATACTTACCTTCCTATGACTTGGCTAAGTAAAAAAGAGATTAACATTGCTGTTTTAATTTATTTTGATTCAGTGACCTTTGGAACAAGTTCGACTTCGCCAGTCTAGTAGTCTATTTCATTCTACTGATATTGCGAATTGTTACATGGGTCAATGGTGGATCAGCTACGAACAACAGAGCCCTTCTTATTGCTGGCTATCTGTACAGCTTTAACACCTTGTGTCTTACCATCCGAGCTTTTGGCCAGGTGATGGAGCAACCAAGAGATGTTGGAACTATCCAGATCGCCCTCTTTGGCATCCTTAAAGACGTGCGCACAGTATGGTGGCAGTTCATTGCGGTAATCTTGGCCTTCTCCATGGCTATTACGAAGATTTACATGTCCGAGAGATCGTTTATTGCAAATGAAAGTGCACGAGTTGAAATGTAAGTGTCTAGAGACTCAGGGGTTTTAAAAGCCCTTTGAATTCATCTTGCAATTAATACATTGGTTCATGTACACGTCAACAGAGTGAAATAGCCCTATCTGATTTATAACACAGTTCACTTTAAGTTGGAAGTCTATATGCGTATCTGGTCTGACCTCCTTTGAACTAAGGTGCCCAGACTGATGGCTTAAAATTTGCCTTCTTTCAAGTTAAACCTCACTAGGTGTCCAATACTTTCCTCAGTATTCTTGCAGAGCCCAACAGACATGCCTTCTGTAAAAGATCGAATGCACAGGACATTTCTATGGCCTTGATCGAGACCTTTGATAAGTCCCTCTGGCACCGTCCCCAAAGCTTCAGTGACTATTATTGTTATTATTATTATTGTTGTTGTTGTTGTTATTGTTTTGTTCTTAATAAACAGTTCTCTTGCGTAACATTACGTGGTCTAAAGTAGGTAAACAAACACACCAAACTAGAAAGCTTTATTCTCTGTTATTCTTGTTCATATTCTTCCTTCATTCGACTTCCTGTGCATAAAACTACAAACAGGTTGCCTTTTAACACAGGTGTCACTTTTCTTTTAGTGCTTGCAAGGAACCTGGACTTTCGTGGTACGTGTTGCTTGGAAATATTTAATGTAAACCCTATTCGAACGCGATTTTTCTGGTTTTCTGAGACGGAAGTGCTTAGGGGTAGGGCGGTTTGGGCGGTCAAAGGAGCTGTATCACGTAATTGGGCCAAATTAAGCCATTAAGAACCGAGCATCTAATTTAGTAAAATATAGAAATGATCGTTTAAAACAGTCCGGGGACACTTAAATGTATAACGCAGCACAAATACAAAAAAGGTACGGACGGTCCAACATTCAAAAAAATTAAAACAGACTGCAATTGTGGCTTTTGAGCTTTTTAGTCGGTTAGTTTTTCGAAGCTTGTCTTTTACCATCGGGCAAAAATTATTATTATTATTATGTCCTGAACCTGCGTTTTTGTCCTTCAGAAAAAACAAGACCCCCTGCATAATGGGGGTTCTTTGGCCTGCGCGGGCGCGATGCAGAGGTTTTTAAAATATTTTGGGAGTTAAAAATTATAATTACACTTTCTTCTGGCTAGAAATTATAGCTTTTCCTAACCCTGTGAAATGGGATAGAGAAAAGAACTGAAGAGTACCTTCTGCCCTTATGAATGAAAATAGGCAAGTTGGTATTTCGAAACAAGAAACGATTGGCTTTATTTTTAACTGGGACATTTCGATTACGCAGCCCCTTTCCCCAATCCCTCTGCTCCCCAAATATAGCATGACAGGTTAACGTGACAAATTTGATCTAACCCGAACTTCCAAAAACGTGACAGGGTTACTTTTGCGAGCACAATCCAACAAAGCCTACGGCCACCCCTCACGGATGTTTAACGGAGCTGTTTATATACTATATACTATATACTATATACTATATACTATATACTATATACTATATACTATATACTATATACTATATACTATATACTATATACTATAAACTATATACTATATGATATATACTATATACTATATACTATATATTATACACTATATACTATATACTATATAAACAGTATAGTCATGCTTTGAGCTGCGCGTATATCGAGTTATGGATGCACTTGGGAAGTATAGCCATGTTTCAAATTATTTTCTCCCACCTTGATGTGAGCCTCAGGAGGTGTGAGTGCTGTGATTGAGTGCCCCCCCCCCCAAAAAAAAAAAAAAAATTATAGCAGCGTCAATAAATAAGAAAAAAAAAAGAAAAGAGAAACATGTCAGCAAAACGTTTATCTTCTCGTTTAATACTACCCTGCGAATGCAGACGCTTCTTATCGATCCCTGCCGTTTGAGACATTTAGAGATCCCAAGATCCTCTCGTGACATGTTCAAATCTTCGCAGTATTGATTTAATTTCAAATTATACCGAAAGAAGTGATTCAAAAACATCATCGAAGAATCGCAAATTAAATATGATCCTTACTCAGTACATAGAAAAGAAAGGTTTTGCCTGCTTTTTTCAGGTTGTGCTCGAAATAGAAACATAAAATTACGCGCGCCTTGCACCGAAGCAAAGTGAAGATACATGTCATTAAAAGAATCTAATGATTTTGTTGCAAGCCCAATAAAATCCTCAAATGAGGCCCAGCTGTTTGAATTCCCTGCCACATGTCAAATGTCCGAGGGTTGCCAAGGGGGGTAAGCAAGTGCCCACCTCATGAGTAGTGATAAAATTTCTAATGGCCCACCCTATAGTTGAGAACAATGGGGCTTGTACACTTACTGAACCGTCATATTCTTGCTCACGCACAGCTGGTGGACGATTTTCTGTGATCTGGGCTGGTCTCTGCTGGATCGTTCTGAAGGTTCTGGCCTCATGATATCTGTGGATCCCACCTCGACCATCCTTGCTGAATTGCTTTACGCTGCTTTTCTTGTCTTGGGGGTGGTTCTTCTCATTAACATGCTGATAGCCTTGCTGTCCAATACGTATCAAAAAACAGAGGTAAAGACTTGGCGTAGTATTTTGAAACTAGTGCACGAAAAAAGGTGTGGAGTTATGTCTGGTGGTTTTGAACTTGTACAAGTAAACTTAAAAGAACGTTTATTGATTCCCATTTAGTCACACACGTAAAAATTTACTGTGCACATTACCATTATTCTTAAAAGAACACACAAATATAATGTTAAAATTAAAATGCATACGCGAAGATAGCTGCGCTCCGCTGCCTTAGGGAGCAAAGACTTCTATCGTTACTTATTTTAATAGCTTTTTGATTGTTGTAATTCTTTAGTAATTGCCCTAGGTAGAACACTTAACGTACATACCATATTTTTTAACCTGTTAGCTGGTTTCAATATATTCATACTGCTGCCCCCTTATCGCCCCAGCCGCCGAGGTGAGGCGATATACGTATTTCTAATAACACATAAACACAATGTAATGACAGTTCCTGGGTGGGGGGGGGGGGGGGGTAAGCGTTTTAGAGTGAATGGTGCAATAAAGGTAATATATAAGTAACGTTCAAGCTGTTGAATAATTGAATATTCTAAACCTAGACAATACTTATCAACCGCTTAAAAACGTGCACATGAGGTGCTGTTTAACAATCTTTTTAAAAGTGGAGACTGAAGAAATATACGAATGTACAAGTACTCTGTAGGCGACTGTCCAGGGGCAGTCAACGAGAATATAATTCAAAACCACTTCAACATAGCAATGTTAAACGAATTTTAGTATTTAAACGGTAGATGTAGGCATATATTTATCCCCTAAAAATTTTCATCTGTTTGGATTTCCTAGCTGAAAGTCTAGTGATCCGAAAATTATAGGGGTCCTAACTTACCTTTTCGAAAATTTCAGCCAGAAAAAAGGCTCCCGAAAATTTTAGGTGACCTTTTTAGGGTAAAACTTCGTTTAAAATAGGCAATTATACCATTTTTTAGATGTTCGAAAATCCTAGGAGAGGCAGGCAAGCAAGAAATTTTACCGCAAATGTTCCGAAAATTCTAGATCTCAAATCGTCTTCCGAACAAATATTTTCCGAAAATTGACGTTGTTTGCTCCTGACTGTTTGGCGGCTTGAAGCATAATTGACCTGACTTTCGTTAGACGATAAGAAGAAATTCTGTTGTTTAAAACTCCAAAGAATACCTCTTAAAAGCTAGTGTGCTGTTTCTGAACGAGAAATTTTCATATAATAAACACAACTTATCTTGCAAATAAGCAAAAACAACTGAAGCCAACCACTTAAGGTTTCGTATTTCGCCTGTAAACTTTTTGCCTTTGCTTTTTCCGGTGTGTCAGTATTCAACATTCGTTACTTCGAATGAGATTTTCTCAAACATGCAATCCGTTCTAAATGAAAATTATCTCTAGATATATAATGAGCGGAACGCGCTGATAAAAAAACATGTAAAAAAACTTGAACCTTTAGTGCAACAAATATGCTATAACGGCTGTCCAACTTCAAATAATTGTCAGCGTAAGTTGTCACGTTCACGCGAAAGCAGACGGAGCGGTCACGGAAACAACTAACAAAAATAACTCTTGCAGCACGCGCGCGAACTTGCAATAGATTTCAGAAAATATCATGGGGCAGGGGGATTCGCTCTCTTTCTCATTATTTCTTGATCTGAATCTGAAAGACTTTCCTCCAGCGGCAGAAATGCAGTGGCGAATGTCAAGCTGGTGATTATTCCATGGCTAACGGTCATGTCTGTCGAGACTGCAAAAGAGTACTCAAGGGAGGGGCCATTAATGTGCTTCTTCGTAATGAGAGTATCTCTGTAAATAAGCAGTTAACGCTCAACAGGCAGCCATTTAAGTTGGCTCAGGAATGCGGTTATGTGCTCAAATTTCCTGGTCTGTGTTGCAGTTCTAGCTGCATGCAAAGTTCTGTAAAGCTTGCAGTTTCCTGATGTTTAAGGATGATATGTTCGACCAGACAGCAGAGCAATACATGAGCTTGCTGAAGACTGAGGGTGGATTTTCACTGTCGCGTAATTTTTACGTGTAACGTAAGACGTATTATTCTTTTTATGAAAATAAAAATGTCAAAATCAACATTTTTGCTGTAACACAACGCAGAGCGTATTATTACGTGGCAATGAACGTGTCAAAACAAGTCACAAGAATTTCGGCATCCTTGCCTTCAAATGTGAGTTCTGAAACTGATCAATGATAAGTGGAAGTTTTCAGTCCTCGCCCTCAGGCCAGTCTGGAACTTTATTATTCAAGGCTCTCTGGAAAATTAAAAGATCACGATCCAGTTGCATCTCTTTTCCCAGTAACGTATCAGAAACAAGTTCTGCGCCTTTAATCTGGGCCGCGTCCCTGTCAAGAATGATGTCTTAGCGCGCTCCCATGCGCTTGCTAAATGTTTGATGCTTTCCTCTTCCTCGATCTTCTGCTTGACTTTCAAGTGATTTAATCTCGCGCTGAAGCTCGTTAACCTTTATTTTGTGCTCGGGATGTTTATCTTTTATTTTTCACTGATCAATATTTGAACAAGGAGGACTGTGGCGTGTTGGCTTCGTATGGCCAGTTGTACGACAATCATTGCATACGCGTCCTGGAAGGCTTGCGAGTGTCATGTATTCGTTCTCTAGCTGATTAAGTTTCTGCAGTTCTTCCTTTGCAGTAGCTACCTGCACTTTCAAAACAGTAACACTGAATTTAATTTCCTGTTGTTTTGAATCTAAAGGGCTACGTCCTTGCTGGTCATTTCGAGCTGATGTGGGACTCGCTGACGCCTCTTCAGTGAAACATGCTGACGGAAAAGTTGATGCATGATACGACAGTTGTTTGGGTTCCAAACAACGAAGTTCGTCGCCGGTATTTTCCAAGCCAAAGCGGCACTCGCCTCATTTTGCGCGGGCACGGAGAGTCAGTTTTTTTTTTAGATTGAATGATTGTTTTCTTGTAGTCGTGGTCTTTCACTTCTTTCGCCGTACGAAGCCTTTCCGGCGAGAACGCAAAAAAAAAAATCTGCTTGACAAACGTTCACCATATCCGTAGCGAAGTCTAATCTTATCTGCGTCCAGGTGAGCCAAAGAAGAACAATTCTTTTTTATGCTACTACTTACAAGACCATCGTATGAGATATTTTCTAGGAGAAAAGCTGCGAAGCGTTTCCCTCCGTATTCAACTTTCACCTGGAAGGCCATTTCGTTCGCTGGTTGTGAGACCTGTAAAATCGCAAGGGATTGAATGGACTTCTAATTGACATCTCCGCCCTTGGCAATTTTCCTGTTCTGGATTGGCTGGCTCATTTTATAGTTAGCAAAACCTGTCAAAATTTAATCAAACAGTTTCTCGAGTGGCAATGGTAAGGCTCGTAGCACTGTAATGACGGAGTCACCTTAAGGACAGAAAAAGGACAGATTTTTTTTTTAAATTTGCGTAGAACTATTTTTTTGGATTTGTTTATTCGAGTTAGTGTTTCTTTTTTGTGTGTGTGTAAAAAATACACGGAATAGTTTAGAGTCATCAACATACTGTAGGATTCAAGTTGACGTTTTGGGGGAGTTTATGGCGGGTATCGTTCTTGTTAATGCAAAAAAAAAAAATAGCAGGGACAGTATGGATCCTTGTTGCACTGTGACTTGTTGGTCGGGGTGAAGAGACCACTGAGCCTATCCGGACGGCTTGAGTTTGGCAAAGAAAGGTTACTTCTAAACCACATGTCGATCTTGGGAGAAGCAATGACACAGCTCAATTTATGAAGAAGGACCGAATGACTGATAAACTGTCAAACGCCTTCGACAAGTCCAGTTGGATTTGAGCAGTACATCGGTGATTTGAATATTAAGCGTTTCGGTGGAATGGTTCTTTTTGTTTTCTGCTTTGTTTGGGAGAAGGGTAGTCTTTATCAGACAGATAGGGTCCCATGAAACTGTTTTAAAGCGACTTTCTCGAAGACTGTAGAAACAACATTGAGTAGCGACAGGGGCCTGTTATGCGTGGCTGCTTCGTGGCTACCCACTCTCAGCTATCTGTCAGAGGGTCTAGTAATTCAGTGAGATAATCTTTGATGACCCTTATGCTATGCTAACTTTTAATTATCTGGGCTGGGAGAATTATTTGATGGCTTGGATAATATGACGCTTTGTAAATCGTGCGTGCGGTTGCGCAATGAACGGCTTATCACTGTATGCTGGATATCGGGGAGAAATTAGTGTAAATGAAATGAAATTAGCGACAGATGTATGCCACATTTGTCCACGCAAGAGACTTCCTCCATTGAACAAAACAGGTCATCAAGTAGATGTTAAAAAGAATGCGGCTGGAAGATTCATTCACGTGCGAAGAGGATCGAGGTAGACGTGTTATAAATATATGTCTAATGTCGCAGTTGAATGAATACGGTAATCTCAGCATATCGCTTCTGCCACGGAGGGTGTGTTTTTCGAAGAGGTACTTGTTAAAGACTCGTGGAAAAGTCACGTCGCTGAGAGTCAATCAGATTGCAAGGATCACCAGTAATTTTAAAATGGATGTAATAAAAATCAAAACGGCTTAATAGATAAAGTCCCGAATCTGGGAAATAAAAGGAGGTAAATATGCAAAGACCCTCGCCAAGATTCAGATCGGTGCAGTTTTTCATGTGCAAGATATTCGAAGAAATGATTTACCCAGATTTGTAGACCTTTGTATGGAGTCGCCATGTCATGGTACCCCGCTGAGGGGCACCAACATCTGGTGGCCGGAAACCATCTGAAACATTTGTCACTGAGTTTGATACGAATCGAAGAGTGAACTCATCTCTCGAGGGACTCATAAACATTAAAGTAATATTTTCCCTAATACAAAGACTGTTCAGATGGCAAAACTAAATTACGTCACTTTTTTGTATTAGTCACTGAGTTTCTTCTCTGAAAAACTGCAACGGTGAACTCTGCCACTTTTTGTTCTTTCAAGTCTCCTGGCGTAAAGTTGAGCTTGCTTTTTACGTCTACGAAAACATGAAACAGATGCATTCTTTGCAACTAATTGCTGCCGGTTCCAAATACAAGACATGAATATGCGTACACGAACTATGAAGGAACGTGCTATTATAGGAATTTTGTACTCATTTAGCCTGCTACTTCTTAGATTATACGGTGTGACACGGATTTTGAATAAATTAGCTATTTAACATGTTTTATGCTCCTTAAAAAGATTAAAATAGAGCACCGTAATTTTGTTTAACTTATAACCTAAGTTATATTCAGAATTTTATTGGCTGCCAAAGCAATAACTACCTTTGATGTCTTCTTAATATTAAATTTACACATATTTTTTAAGTGTGCTGACGGAGGGTATTGCTTTATATGTCATGTATACATTATTTTTTGGCTTTATTAGCCTCTGGCTCGGGAGACCGGATAAACTACCTAGCTACTTAGCTTGGAGCTGCTACCTGGACCTTTCATTCCCGGACAAAGTACAGTGATTTGTATGAAATTTTCCACCCAAGACCTCAATTCTTTATGTTTATTGACATAAATTGTGACTCGCTTTTCTAAGTAGTCAAGTTATTTTGTGTACGTTTGTGAGTTGTTTTCCAAACCTGGATAATCTGTCACGCATGCCTTTTTGCGTGACCTGTATAATAATAATTTTCCATGTTTTTTACACCCGTGCGTAAATAAAGATCTTTTTCATGATGACGTGTTCAGCTGTGTTTTTCGTCTCTTTTCCTAAGTACTAAGTACCCAAAAATCGACGGCAATGATGAAAAACGTTCTAGCATTTTTGGAATTGAGCTTCTAGCCACTCAAACCAAAAGCAAGAGCCTGAATCGCTGAAAAGTCTGCCGTATTTAAAAGACTCAGATTCATCTGGAAAAACATCACAAAATGGTCTGTGTCGGGAAATATCCAATTTGTATAAAGTGTCCTCCCTTTTTAACGTTCCTGTTATCCTTTACAAAACAAGTTAATTATAAAGCTCAATAGCGAAAAATTATGCAATTTTGAAATCGCCGTACTATCCGACTGAAGCAGGAAAATTTCTCTTGCAATAACAAGACAAATTACACAAGAAGACATAAATTTATTACTCACAAAAACAACTGCTGCCAGGTCTTCTCAAGAAGCCGTAATAACCAGCCATTGTTCGTAAATGTTGTTGTTCGCTAAAACACAAGTTTTCTGGATTTCGCCCGAGCAAAACATGAACATCTTTTAAGCGCCGGAATCCAACCATACTCCACGACTTCTTACGAACTTGTGAGTATTTTAACTTTAGGTGGACTTTACGACTCTTTTACCTTTGTTTCTGCTTAGTTTCCCATTGATCGTTAACGAATAAATAAGCAAATGTTCTTTCTCAGTTTTACACAAAGAATTTTCTTTCAAACTAGACGATTGTGGCGTGTTTGTAACCAGCCAATAGAAACGTTTGTTTTTCTGTGTCGCGCGTTACGACAATTTTGCAGTTAATCAAAAAGCAAGCATTTTTGTCTGCTATGTTATAAAAGAATTTGCTCATGCTTTGAGCTGTGCGTATAGCGAGTTATGGATGCACTTGGGAAGTTTGGAGAGCACTCAGAAAAGCTAGAGTTGCTCTCGGCTGCGCCTCGAGCAACTCTTACGCACTTTCGTGTTCTCCAAACTTCCTGCGTGCATCCATAACTCGATATACGCACGCTAAGCGTGAACAAATTCTTAATTTTCACATGGCGTCACCAAAATTCAAAAAAAAAACCAAATTATCGATTCTTCTGAATTTCTACTTTCATGAGATATTAGGGCTAAACACCTTCATTTTACAAATTTTCTATTCGAAAGGGTTTTCGTTTGGCGATAGAGGGCGACTTGAATTTCCAAGTTTTTGCGTGACGCGGCATTTAGCTGGCGGCCGAGAAAGCCCTCATATGGGTTAAACACGTTACCGATTTTTTGAGATTTTGCTGTGAAACATTCCTTGTCTCAGATTAAATATTACTTGAATCTTTATTAGTTACCCAAGTCATAAATTCACACTTTGGTTTCCGGCCGCCATATTTGTACTTTCAACGGGACACCAACTCGTTTTCTCCATACAAAGCTTTATAAATTTGGCTAAAACATTTTCCGACTATCTCACGTTATGAAATATCGGACAGATCTGAGTTTTGGCGAGGTCTCTTTTATATTTATCTTCTTTTATTCCCCAGATTCTGGACTTTCTGTATAGAATGGCTTAACTTTTTTTTATTTAACTTATCACATAACCATTGCCCAGTGGATCCAGAGAGAGTCGATTGTGGTCAACTCCGGTGCGTGAGAAAACCTGGTTTGTGACCATAGGTCACAACCATGATACTGAAGGTCATGTTGTTTGTTTTACAAGGCTTCCCACAACTTTGGGACCTTTAACCTGCGGGCCAGGATTTGAGTGGATATCACTGCTTGCCACCAACCTGCACATCTGGAAACTTGAACTCGAGTTGGAGTAATTAATATCTTATTTCGACAACTATGAAAACTACGAAACCTTTGTGCAGGACATGTGAAATTCAAATATATGTATGGCAGTGTCAACGCTGACCGGATATAGTTGCCAAAAATAAGTAAAGCAATAGTCCCGAACAATCTCATAATCAACGAACCGTATCAAACCAGCCACTGATAAGCAACAGTAAAAAGATGACAGTGCACACAAGCTCTTATTTGTCTAGTATTTGGATCGACTGGTATAAAGCATCGGGGCACTCACAAACGCCTTCGATTAGAAAAACATGGGTGAGGAGCGACATGAGACCTACATAATCCGACATCTCGAGATATCGGAACATAATAATTAGGCTAGTATTGATTCAATTTGAACCAAACTGAGCAGATACATGGATGTTTGAGTACGAAAGGCACTATAGCCGGTATAGTTATTCTTTTAGGTAGGTTTTATGCTGACATAGACTAAAGATCTTAACATGATGTTTACCGTGACCGCTTCTTGACACTGTCTTCTAGACCGATTGCATTTGTGAAGTATTTTTCCTGTTATTTTGCTGCTCTGTCAGAACAAGAAGTTGAAAACATGTACCTTTATAGGTACGAAATCTATTTTAGCCGAATTATTGCAGAAGTAAAAGTTTAATCGAAGGTTGCTGTCGTTGTTTGCAGGTCAGTTCATCATTATTATTTACCCTTCCGTGTTTTACCTATGTATTCATTATTGACAATAATTGCTTTCCTTGAAAGATGTACAAGAAGTTAGTATCTGGTATGTATATTTTAGATCACCTAATGACCACATGCAAAGACACAACAAACGCCTTCACACTTATGATGTATATGTTGTGGTTCAATTTTTTCCTTGGTTTAAGTTTCATTTTCTTCGTTTCAAATTTATTATCATACATTACCATACTCCAAACCAAATGAAAATAATATTTAAACCAAGGATAAAACTGAGCCACAACACATACATTATGCCAAATGGATGCTGTTTCCAAAGAAAGTCCCAAATTTTTCCAGCGCGTGATTTTTCGTGATCGAGAAATATGATGCTTGATTAGCAACTGCTCCCAGCATTTATCTTTCCTTTAGGAACAAGTAGTTTATTCTCTATTTTTACCAGTGTTTCCCGTGAAAAAGTTTAAGGGACAATCGAATTTCGTGAGTCGAAGGTAACTGAAGGTCGCTGACGAAGTGTGAAATAAAATGTCACACGCACATTGTTGCGGGATAATATATATGACCAGCTTTATTTTTCACTAACCAGCTTATGAGCGTTTTTTAGCGGAACACCGTGGGTAAAAATAATGGTACCCTATAGATGCGAGAATTTTGGCAATCACGTGACCGTCCTTCCACCCCTACATGTAAGCTAATGTCAAATGTCACATTTACTATGACTAGCACTTTTCTAATGCATGACAAAAGCCCACGGACATGCTATCCAAATTAAGATGAATTGATAGCTGTCAGAGCCGAGTCTTCTCTTCGACTAAATTCTAATGTCTACATTGACGTGGATAACAGCTAGGGAGAGAGAAGAAAAACAAAGGAGACGAATTTTATTTAAAAAAACATGAAATTATGGTAGCGACATTCAGAAAATGAGAAATGTTAGCGGCCACCGAGGTGAAAATGAGCGGGAGTGAAGAAATAGCGAGCAGGAATACGTACGACATTTCCCCATAAAACTTGTAACTAGGAAATTTCACCTTGTAGTCTTGAGTAAACTATAAGTACAGTCGAACCTCCTCTAACAGGGCTACCTCTCCGCAACGGCCACCTCCCTATACAAAGGTCACTTTATTTTGTCCCGGCGGACGGTTCATACATTGACTCTTATTCAAGGTGGCTGAATACAGTTTTGCGGGCGGTCAGCGGTAACTCGCGTGACCGCGCGTGTTTTAAATTAGATAAACAAACATGGCGGCGAAAAAAGCAATGGTACCCATAAGACGATTTCTCAAAATCTGCTCATTAAAATTTTGCGATATTTGGCAGAATTTGTACTTTTATCGTACTTTAAATAATGAGAACTTTAAAATGGATATTGAACAAACAAATTTTGTGACACGTTTAATAATTACAGTACAATTACATTATTGATTATCTAAAAACCCCTCCGTTAAAATTTGGTCAAATAAGTTTCAAACGGAAATGATTAATGATAGTAAGCTCTGTGCACGTTTATAGGGAAATCTAATGAGCGAATGTTATGTAAACTGAGCACAAGTGAAATTTTAAGGCTGTATTCAATTGTTCATGTTGCCATGGAAACTACGAAAACGTCACATTTTACCTGTCAATCAAAATCTTTCATCAGTATATTTTTCAATTGCCAAGTTTCAGCTTGTGAGCTGGAACCTTTCTCTTGCCATGATTTGGTAAATGACATCTGACTCACAAACTGCCGAAACTGTGTTCAGCCACCTTAAATCCCTCTAAAACGGCAACGACCACTAAAGTGTGTCCCCAAGCGTCAAAATAACCTCTCCATAACGACCGGTTTTTTAAGCGACTCATGAAAAAAATCAAGAATGGTCATGAAATTTGATACGTATGTCGCTTTTATGATTAATGGCGGCACAATCGTACATTGATTGTGTTCCATTTATGCTACTGCAATAGGCATAAATTGTCTATGATACTTATAGTGAAGGTTGTGAGCCTTGCTCGTTTTGTCACGTCAACATTTTGATTCAAAACATAATTCAAGCTTTCTGTGTATTTTATCTCTATATATTATTTATGACTAGATTATCATTATGGGATACAGTAAGAATGAACCTAGTACAATAAACATGTTGTACTCCTTAAAAACACCCTGCACCCCTACCTCCCCATAACAGCCACCTCTCCACAACGGTCACTTTCGTCTGTCCCCAAGGTGGCCGTTGTGGAGAGTTTCGACTGTATATTAACAAGTTAGCGCTTCGCTTTTAGCCCTGGCTAAATCTATATCATTATCTGCTCAATTAAGTTTAAGTTTAAGTTTAAGTTTAATAATGCTTTACCATCCATACAACAAGAATAATGAAAATTTACAGTAAAGGATGGAGGGATAGTGGCAGGGAGAAACTGAATTCCCATTCTAGAGCTACTCTCCTTTCGTCCACATGAACACATTGAAAAAAAAAAAACCCTTAGGCTAATATATTACAAAGATAAAAAAATAAAAAAAAACTGGAAAAAACTGTTTCAGTGAAATGGTTTGGTATTTCATTGGTGTTTATATAATAAATAGAACATTACATGGCCGCTTGTTGAAAATATTTCACTCGTTCGCTGCGCTCACTCGTGAAATATTTTTCAACACGCGAAGAGAAATTTCCTATCTCCGCGCGGCCATGTAATATCCTCTATTTACAAGATAACATAAGAAATAGAATAATAACAATAACATAAAATGGAATTGATAAAAATTATGCATCAACAAATGTGTTTGTTTTTCAATTGTTAACAGGACAACGCTATAATGGAATGGTCGTTTAAGAGAGCGATTACAATTCAGACGTTCGATGGATACGATCCGATTCCAGTACCTTTTAACACCATCTACAGAATATTCAAACTACTGAGGGTTTGCTTTCTCAGGTTAAAAGGAACCCCTAAACAGGGGAAAAGAATAAAAAGAGATAAGGTGGGTGTAAAAGCAGCAATCTATTTGTTTGGACAAGAATCGATAGTTTTTCAGCAAATTTGTCTGTCATTGTTTTCTTTATTTTTGTGTTCACTAATATGATTTTTTGTGGGTTAGGGTTAGAGTGAATTATCTCCTTTTCTCTTTATCGTTTCTATTAGAGTACATTTCGTCTAAAGAATTCATCTTTGGGAAAACTCGTAAAACAACTTGAAGAGAAATACTTCGCGAAGTATACAAATTCGTTTCCAATTACAGGTACGCATACTAAGAACCATTATGTACACGCTGGCAGGGCTTGAAATATAACCGCAGGAAACATTAGGCCGACTTAGGGGCTGTTCATATGGGGTGAGCCTGCCCGATTAGCCGGAGTGGCTCGGCTCTTCTCTGTTTTCCGTATAAATTGTCGTTGTGTATATATGAGAAGGCGGACTGGCTGGTGATGCTCAATATACCAAGTCAATATATTTACTATTGTCTCGTTTTATTTTGTGAAGTTTATTGTGTTATTGTGTACGGGCTAGGAATCATTGTTGCGTTCTTTGTGACGTAACTCGAGACTCGCTATTCACTTGGTACATCGTGCACCAGCCGGACTGGCATAATTAACGCAAACTGAAAGAATCAACCACTAAAAATCACTACCCGGATTTTAGGTAGTGACGTCACTGGACGGCATTCACGGAATGTCGATTCAGACGTCCCTCTCGGAGGTATGCGCCTCGTGGGGATGTCTGAGATTCAGGCTAGGAAACAGCCTTCTTACCGAGAACTAGCTTCGAGGAACCAAGATCTCGGATAGCTGGCCAACCCGCCTTCTAATGTAAACATAACGACAATTTTAAGAGGAAACAAGGCATAAGCCAAGCAAGCCCGGAAAAGGGGGCCAGCCAGGCGAACCGGGCTGGCGCACTTCATTTAAGGTGGCTGAACACAGTTTTGGCAGTTTGTGAGTATATGTTATTTGCCAAGTCATGGTAAGAGAAGGGTTGCAGCTCACAAGCTGAGACTTGGCAGGTGAAAAATATACTGATGAAAGATTTTGATTGACAGGTAAAATTTGACATTTTCGTAGTTTCCATGGCAACATGAACGATTGAATACAGCCTTAAAATTTCACTTTTGCTCAGTTTACAGAAAATTCCCTTATTAGATTTTCCTGTAAACTTGCACATAGCTTACTATAATTAGTCATTACCGTTTGAAACTTATTTGACCAAAATTTAAGATAGGGGTTTTTAGATAATCAGTAATATAATTGTACTGTAATTATTAAATGTGTCACAAAAATCGTCTGTACAAATTCCATTTTAAAGTTCGCATTATCTAAAATACGATAAAAGTAAAAATTGCTCCAAATATCACAAAATTTTAATGAGTAGATTTTTAGAAATCGTCTTCTGTTTACCATTGTTTTTTCACCGCCATGTTTGTTTGTCTAAGTTAAAACACTCTCCGTCGCGCGAGTTACCGCTGACCGCCCGCAAAACTGTGTTCAGCCACCTTAAACAGTCCCTTATAGAGGGACCAATTACTATCTATTATTAAGAGCTCCGGTGGCAGGGAGGAACAGGGTATACGTCGCCTCAGACCAAAAATGGCGGACAGTAGGGTGTGGTCCCTTTTGACCGAGGAGTCCTAGATCCGAGAGAGGGTGAGTTCGTACAGATAACTTTTAGGATGTGGTCTGGCGCTATAGTCGGGTTAGGGTAGGGCTCGGGCTATAGTCGGAGTTCGGGTTCGGGTTCGGCCTATAGTCGGAGTTCGGGTTCGAGTTATAGTCGGAGGTAGGGTTCGGGTTGTAGTGGGAGTTCGGGTTCGGGCTATAGTTGGAGTTTGGGTTCGGGTACTAGTCGGAGATAGGTTCAGATTATAGTGAGAAAAAGAAATTTTCGAAATTAATCGGTATTTTCTTTGGAAACCCATTGTAAACCGAAAAAGGGAGACTGGTTTGACACTAGAAAAACCTTGTAAACTGAAAAAGGGGACTGATTTAACTCTGTAAAAACCTTGTAAATCGAAAAACGGAGACTGATTTGATCAGGAGATAAAAGCAGTCTAAAACAATTCTTATGAATGAAAACAACTTGAAACTACTCATTTAAGTGAGAACAGATAAAGACAAGTAAAGGGAAAACTTGGTCACGTGGCACATATTCACGTTTGCCGTTTGCCGTAAACTTGGCACTTAATAGCTCTATTGTCTTCAATATCGGTGAATAGCAATAGAAAAACTGGACTTACTGTTATGTTTTCATTTAGATGAAAGGAAAGTAGAATGCGTGTGGCAAGAGACACAGAGAAACCGACAAATGATAAGCCAAATCCTTAGCACAATCTTCGCATCTCAGATTGGTGATCGACAAACACTGTGTTCAAGTCAAAATGTGAGTATCCATCTCAGAAAACAGACACCAATAAGAAAACAGAAAACAATTAACGCAAAAGGAAACAAGCCAAACAACGACAACAACAACAACAGAAAACAGAAGGAAAAAATGTTAAGAGTAAACGGCAACAGGAAACAGAAACGTAAAATACAAAAACATAGAAAAAGGCCAGCAGATTAACGGAAAAGTTACTAAAGTCTCTTTTTCGGTGAGTCGTTGTGTTATCCCTTATTCCTCATTTTTTCTCCACACTGCTATTTGATTTATACTAATAAACTTGCCAGAGACATGCAGCGATAACAGTGAAGATACAAAATGATCTGACCATAAATAAAATGCCAACTTAGCGGGTTGATGAAGTACATGAAATTGCTTTCGCATTTGTACCGTCCTTAGAGTTACGTTACTTTGTGCGAAAAAAAAAAGAAAACAATGAGACAGATTGAAATTCGAGAGAGAGCGAAAAGAACCAACTGCAATATATTCGCCATGAGTACCCCTGATTATAGTCAATGCAATCGTGTATCTAAAAATCTACCTCATGTTTCTCCTTCACTGAGATGAATAATTCTTTTAGCATATACCGAGCCAATGAAATAGCTGGTCCAAAATTAGCAAAGTAATTGTGTTTGGACGTCGAAAAATTCTTTTTAAACTCTAATTTCCCAAAGACAAACAATTCATGGGCGCAACCAAGGCAGGAAATTTGGCGGGCAACAAACAATATTACAACTTGTGTCGTCTCTTTTGACTGATGAATGGATTTTACTAGCCTGCGTTGGCTAGTTACGTTCACAATGAAATTGTAGTTGTGAGACGATATCCCTATGCTCGGAGAATCAATCATGAATTCCAAAAGAGAAAATCTGAAATTCTAGGAAGCAGATAATCTTAATAATAGCTGCTAATTCACTTAAAAACGTAGCCGTAGAGGATTAAGAAAATACAACGCTTTGGTCGCTAGAATGGCAACCAGAAATACTTTCAAGCATGAGACCTGAGGTAGGTCAAGACATTAAAACAAATCTGAATCTTCAGTGGAATTGAAAATCTGTTGCATGGACCTTGCCATTGAAAGAGACTGTTGCTTTCAGGATAAGGGGAAAAATACTTAAAGGTTATTTGGACGGGATAACAAGCTAATTTGAAGGTTGGAAACTTTCGTACCGTATCGCCATGTCTAACGATTTAATTTCTCGATATTAAAAAAAAAAAAGAACAAGACACCCAGCGAAAGTGTTCTGCAAAGCTTGTTTTACGAGGTGGAAATTCGGCTGGATAGCCAGATACTTATATTCCTAGACTTCGTCTGGCAGTTACCTACTATTACTAGCATTTTATCCCTAACTGGATCGGAAAAAGAGACTAAGGGGGACTGGAAAATAACCCCCCACTAACAAAACGATGTCCGCTGGCTAAACTAATAGCGGCTGCAGGAAAAAACAATTTTGAGTCATTTTGAGCCATTCACGGTTAGTTGCGCAAGAATTTTGGAGGTATACAGCTCCGTTAAGACAGGATAAGGGAACAGAAAGGGAAACTTAAAGGACGTTGCCGGCTGGCATATGCGAATTTTATTAATGGTTATGCAGCTGTCACGCGCTTCAAGTTCCGAACAAACAACTTTATTTCTAGACTTTGTACAACTGGTAAATAGAAACAACGAGAACTAAGCGAAGCGGTACTGAACAAGAAAAAATTGTTGTGACTACTGTGGAATTTGATGCTGGATATGTCGACCAGATTGCTCCTCAGTTTTGTTTTCTTTCTCCACTGAATCAGAGACCCATCTTCAATAAAATCACTAAGAGCGAACGACATGTGTTTTGTTCAATGGAAGGCCGCTTGTTGTAGGATTCAACATCCTGGTCTGACTTGTGGTCCGTGGACTTGATTTGCCTCATGTCATAATGGCCGTCCTCTGCAGTTGTGTGGCATTCAAGAAGTCTCGTTCGCCGCTGTCAAAGAGTTAGTTGCTTTTTGGGGACGACGCCGGCAATATTTCCCGTCTTTCTGAGGTTTTTCACGAACGCGTCTAACACTTAATTTAATGCTTCTGTAAAAGAAGGGTTAGCAATTATGGAGAAAAAAGCTTATTTGGTGGTGGCGAGCGGAGAAAGCGGTCAATGGCGGCTCTTATAGATTTAATGGAGCTACTTTTGTAAGAATTGCCGCCCTTCTTTCTCGAACGGGTGTAAAAGCTCTTTAGACACGCATTTAACTTACTCCCGCCATGACTTGCAAGCCATTCTGAAAATTTGAGAGGTGAACTTTGTTGTTGTTGTTTTACCCTGGTTTCCAGGGGATATTTTTTTCTGATCGATAGTGATGTTTCGCGGGAGCCTTATCAAACCATAAGTACGGTTTATTTCATATTAGGCATTTTGAGAACGGATCTCTGGAGCCAGGGTATTGTTGTTTTTGATGTTACACAATAAAGTATTTTTAAAAAATCTCGACGTGCGGAAAAATTATAATTTCTTTAAATTTGCATGGAAACTTCGGAGATACGTACCATTAGATAATTTTAAACCAAAGTTTGTAGCTTTTTTCGTCGCTGCCGGCATGGTATTTTCCAGCATTTCTTGTATTTCTTCGCTAGAAAGCTCGTGAAATCAATTTTTTTCGTCATTAATTTGTTTTCCATATAAGGTCAGTAGTTGCGTCAAAATTGTATTAGTTTTTTACCGTTGTTTTGATAATAAATCAACCAACGCAGTTGGCAGATTTGTCATCAAAACACAGTGGCCACAAGCCAACAGCGGTCACGAAACAAAGACGTGTGTGACATTCCAAAGCGACCCCAACATTCCGATGCGACCCAAAAAAAGTTTGAGCAAAAATGGTTCTCTTGAAAAAACTTTTTTCGGGTCGCATCGGAATGCGGGTTCGCTGCGGAATGTAATATAATGTTTGTCTACTCAAAGGAACAAAAATAGGATTACAACATCCGTGGAGGTTTCCCTTTCGTCGCTTCATTGAATATGCTGTCCCGCTTTGTGGTTTAATTTGTGGTCGGAAGTTGAAAGGTACAAGCAATTAGACAAAGGCGATTTCTGATATATTGAACGATGGCAGCCTACTCGTTCCCCGTTTTAACCGCGCAAAAACGTTTCTTTAATGAGCCATTAACCGCAAAGGAGCGAGAAGAACTTCGTCTACCTTTGGAGCCCGAAGAGTTTGAAGCACAGCCTGTACGGCCGTCTCGAAATAGGGCTAGCAGACGACAACAAGAGCTTCAAGAGTTTGATCCGTTACATGAAAATTACGTTGCGAACGCTCCTGTAAACCGCCAGATTGGTTTGTAAACGCTGATTATAATTATGCTTATGAAGAGGGTGGGAGGCAAATTATTAGATGGCGTTTCTTTTAGCGCTTAACCAATTCGTTGGACCCGCAGATGATGAATAAACTTGAAGAATCGGTTCAAAACAGATTTAGAATCAATTATTCATTCACTTATGTGTTGAAAAACATCGAGATGGGCAAAACTGACATCTTGTGTGGAAGACAGAAGGAATAAAAAGTCGATGGTTCAACTCTTTTCCCGAGGGGCAAGCATGGTTAAAACGGGAAGAAGAAAACCGGTTGGAAGGGGAAAATATCGGGCGTCGCGCCACAAAATTTGGATTTGAAAGACACATGTTGATAACGAACCGTTGCAGGTTGGGGAAGGGCATTTGCCAGGTTTGCTGCGAATGAAGAAAGGATTAATTGCTCTGGTTAATTTTGACGATAATCTTTGTATGTTTCGTTGTTTAGCAGTAGACCGAGGGGCTAATAAGCAATAAGCAACTTTACTGGAGTTGTGACATGAAAATTAAGTCCGACGGCGCGTAAGCGACCGGACAAGCTGGAACTGTAAAATTCCGCTGAAGAAGACAGTAAAGACGAAACCGGTCCGGAAAATGGCTTGTTTTGTTCGAGACGGCTGGATCGGTACTCAACCATAAGTACCATCCTTAATTTCCAGTGCGAAACCGCAAGGGAGGTTCCGTTACGGGGAATGAGAAGCATGCTGAACCTAGACACCTTCTCTTGGCAAGAGAGCCCGTGCAAATTAGAGAGAGAGAGAGAGAATACTTCATGGAAAGTGCTGGCGTACGGTATTTACGCACGAGTTGTTGACGTATCAGAAATCGAACGAGGGAGCGCAGCCAACGAGAAGGATTTCTGATACAAAAACGAGTGCGTAAATACCTTACAAAGCACTTTCCATGTGGTATTGTGTTTATTATATACATACTGAGACTTTCTTCATTTTGGCGGCCTTTCTATTTTAAATCTTTCAAAAATGCTAAAATTTGCCGCTACACACTTACCGCAAAATAACAACGAAAACGAAGTATCAGCTTTTTAGTAAAAACGTTTGTTAAAAACATAAATTACGGTAAGGATATGAGGTAATCCAAGAACTGTAAGTAATCTTAATTGTTTGTTCTCAATGCACAATTGAAAATGAGTGAATTTAAGTAAAATGGCCGGTTTCGATATAAGGTTAAGCTTAAATGAAAGGCGAAGTAGCTCCGACAAAAAGCACAACAAAAGCTTACGTCTCGTTCTGTTTTTCCTTTTCCTCTGTTGTTTCGCCGGCTCTCTACCGTTTTCTTTATCGACAGTGAAACAAACGAAACTATTCCTCTCCATTTCCGAAATGATTTTCACTTTTTAGCGAGAAAAACTCTTTGAGTAAAATTTTTCTCGTTGAATGTGTGCGAAGCAGTGCTGCAAGCTGCAATCTGTAATAAAAGGCGGGAATTTTTAGCGAAACTCACACACCTCTGTGGCTTCTGATTGGACGTATCATTTTTCTCACACGTGAAAAAACATCGTTCGCGATTCTGATTGCCTGTATCATTTTTTCACGTGTGAAAACCATCGTTGGCCCCTCCGATTGGCTAGAACTATTTATTTTTATTATTATTATTTTTATTTTATTAGCTTTGCCCTGAAGAATACCAAAAAAAAATCACACACATGTAGAGATATGCAAACAAAATATTAGGGCAGGGACACCGCAACAGCTAAAGCCAGTTACTGCGGACCCAAAAAATAAAAAGATATAAAATTAGCAATTTAAATCACATGCAGCAGCTAATTTCATGATCTAAAAACCTAGCTGTGTTACATTTCAGGCAAATACTTTTAAAGCTCCTTGGAGAGTCTGGGTCATAGTTTATTGCTAGAGCCCGCGAGTAATAACCGTAAAGAACAGATTTAAGAGCCAGTCCTTATTATTACACTGTCAGGTCAGATGCTGTAAAAGTACTCAAATCGCGCTGAAACTTAAAAGCAAAGACAATGACTCTAGGTAACAATATTTACACTTTATTGAGAACTTTTATCGCTTTTACTTCATTTATTTCATCTAAGTTTCAAACTCTATTTTTCCCATACAAACTCTCATATTACGCTTGGGCCACCTGTGGTTAGTCACCCTGAAGAAGATCACTGAATGTGATCGAAATATAGGTGGATTGAAAGGAAACTGTTTTCTGTCTTCATTTGTGATTAAGATATATAAAAACAAATTCGTTTTTTGATTGAGGAGCATCAGCTATAAGTTCACAGAAGTTCAGGTTTCACGAGTAATCATCGTTTTATTGCTTCAGAACTGTTTCGTATGGTGCAAGGACCACACTCATCAGGCAACTTTGACAACTGAACTGTTGGAATTGGAAGGCTGGCAGCTAAATGCGAAAATTTAAATGGTTGCTATGGTAGATGCGTTACATTCAGGTCATATGAAACTGTTGAAAGGGTTGCTAGGTAACAAAAACATTATATAAGAGGGGTTATCTGTCGTTATAAAAAATGTGATATAAGCGGGTTTTAAGCTACGTTACTCTAAAGTTTAGAGTAAAGGCTTCCTTCCTTTTAAGGGCCGGCGTCCACGATGCGCAGACCCACTTTTTTGTCTCGGCGTTAACGTCATTGTTCAACCTGAGCTTCATGTTTGGTGTTGCCTGCCTGAGCGTGTTGTTGTAGGCAACTGTTCTCTCTATATTGATCACCATTCGAGAGGGTGTATCAGCCACGCTCCGGGCGCAGCTCCTAAATCAAGACGCACCTTTGCTTCGTCTACAGCCAACTGATATCTTTGCATGCTCCTGGCAAGGTCTGGCTGGCTGATAGCGTCCTGCAACAATACAAGAAACTCGCTCTGCGCCTCTTTCGCCCGGCCTCCTTCACCGAGAATGCTGCATCGCACGTTAACTTGGGCCCCGAGAACACAGTACACGAAGGCCTCGATTGACTGATTCAAACGTTACAGCCCTGCCTGAGTGAGCCCGTTCGCCTTGTCGGGCATAAACCAATCAAACTGCCTATCGGCACACTGCTCGTTTCTGATTAATCCAATAATGCTTCCTTTGTCCTTTCCGGCCCCGCTGTCGTCTGCAAAACGCTGCTCGAAGGGCTTGACAACGTGGCTGGCGGACAGGTCCACTTCTTAAACGGCCAAGAACTTCCGTCATTGTAAATGACATAGATAACCAAGACCATGATTTTGACCGTGCGTGAAACGGAAGTCTGCCGTTGGCTCTACTTCGAAAACTCAGCGCCAATTCTATTGTACGACGGAATGTCGAATGTACCCTACTCGATTTGTTTGCTACTAATAGTCCTAAAAATGTTACTCATGCTAAAGTTTTTCTATCCACTTTAAGTGATCATGATTTGCTTGTTGTGGTCAGGAAAATTAATGCTGGTAAACTTCCTCCACGCTCCATTGAATGCAGAAATTTCTCAAATTATGACCAAATGACGTTTATTGAAGATTTGAAGAAATGTTCCTGGGATGATGTGTACAGTGAAAGGGATGTAAACTCCGTTTGGTCGAAATGGACGGAATTATTTCTATCAGTGTGTAATAAACATGCTCCTATTCGCCATAAAGTGTTGAGGGGAGTTATATGTCCATATTTAACATCTGCAACAAAAAAGCTTATGAGTGAAAGTGATTCTTTTCTAAGGAAAGCGAGGAAAACTGGATCTGAAGTTGACTGGAGTACATATCGGCGATTACGAAATCAAGTTTCCAACAGGATCAAAATTGAGAAGCGTCGTTATCAGAGAAACGAAATTCAGGATAATTTGGCCAACCCGAAATCATTTTGGAGAGCTATGAAGAGCATTTTCCCAAACAAAGAGAGAAAATCTTCGACTGTTCAATGTATAATAACGGACGAGGGTGAAACTATCACTAGTAAATCAACTAGTGTCGAGAAATTTAACATCGTTTTTACGAACACTGTGTCCAAGCTCCTGGAATCCGTTCAATCAACTACCTTTCTTGGTCTCTGTGATGAAAAGTTTACTAATGAAAGTTTTGTGCTTCAACCAGTTTCCCAAATTTTTATTTTTGAGCAACTGAAGGACTTGAAAGTAAAAAAGGCCACTGGCTTGGATGGGATTTCGGCTTGGTTTTTGAAGGACGGCGCTTCGGTTATCGCTCCCACTGTGACATTTCTTGTAAACTTATCGCTAAGTACTGGAATTGTTCCATGTGATTGGAAGATGGCCCGCGTCGTTTCTTTATATAAGTCTGGTGGACATGAAAGTATGGACAACTACAGACCAACCTCCATATTGCCTGTTATGTCGAAATTTATGGAGAAAGCTGTCAACGTTCAACTACAACGGTACCTACAGAGGTTTGACCTTTTGAGTCCATTTCAGGCAGGGTTTAGACAACACCATTCAACGGGAGAGTGCTGTGAACTATTTCACCGATGAGATAAGAAGAATTGCAGAGTCTTGAAAGTTAACAGGTACTTTGTTTATTGATCTAAGGAAGGCCTTTGATTCTGTGCCGCACAAGGAACTCTTACCCAAACTGAAAAGATTTGGCTTTGGAGAAAATTCGATTAATTGGTTTACAAGGTATCTATCCGACAGATTTCAAGCTGTGTCCCTGGATAACGAGTTGTCGAGTCCCTTAGCTGTCCTAAGTGGAGTGCCTCAAGGGAGTATCCTTGGTCCAGTTTACGTTGAATATTAATGATCTACCTCTCTGTGTTGATGTCTGTAAAGTTATGATGTATGCTGATGACACAGTTATCTTTTTCTCAGCTCCACTAATATCGGAAACTGAGTTACAGTTAAATTTGGAACTGATTAATCTGTCTGAGTGGCTGTCTACAAATAAACTGATTCTGAATTTTAAAGAAGACTGAGTTCATGGTTTTTGGCACCCACCGGAGACTATGTCGCCAAGACATCGATGGGGCTCATATAACGTTGGGAGGAGAATCTGTGACAGATTGTGATGCCTTCAAGTACCTAGGCGTAGTTTTGGACAACAGTCCTTCCTAATTTGCATATTGACTATGTGAAGAAGAAAGTTTCTAAGACACTGGGGATGTTCTCAAGAATTAGATCATCATTAACAACTGAAGCATCGAACCGATTGTATAAATCGATGATACTAGCAAATTTGGAATGCTGTTGTGCTGTTTTCCATGGCTGTGGTAAAGAAAATGAAGAAGAGTTGGAACCACTTTACAAAATCCGTTTATATATTGTATAAACAAAATGGTTGTGCTCACAATCATTGCGCCTTTAAACGAACACACCGTTCAGTTTGAACAGCCAATCGAGAAACCAACCTATATCAGGCTACTTTCCCACTCTCTTTACAATTCTTGGTATAATTTGAAAAACCCAGGGACAGTTATATTGATTGAAACTGGAGCTGGCAAAGAGCCAAAATCTGGAAAATTGCCAGCAGAGCATTTTGGAAAAACCACTGAACATCGTGTTCGAAAAAGTGTTGGAAACCAGAGTATATGCTGTAAAGAATCAATCCGTTGGAGCCCCAGTAATCTACAATCTTAAAAAAAACTGATGTGTGGCTAGACGGAAAATTGCAAAAATTTCTTGGAATTGGCCTCACAGGCCTTCGTAAAAAAATTCTGTTTAAATACCACTTAACACGAAAAAATTCACTCACTGGCTCTTTCCAAACGCAATTCAATTAACGCAATCGTTTCCAAAATTTTGATCGATGGCGTTGTCACAGACACGGAATTTCAAGTTATTAACTCTGAAATGGAACAATACTTTAACCGGAAAGAGGCTATGCGGGCAAAAATCAAACAAAAAACAAACCCCGGCTCTGACATTGCGAAAATAAAACAGAAAATTCGCAACGAAGTGCAGGACGAACTTCAAACAAAAAGTTTTTAAGCGCAGAGTTATTTCATTTCACAAAACCCCACTTATTAAATGATGGCAGGTTTTTTCCTTGCTGCTTCATTTTTTTTAAAGAGTTACTCATTCCAAAATGGCAAAAAGAAGTTCGTTCGAAAACCCGAGCAATTTTAGCTTTGGAGGAAGCGAAAATACAGCCTTCTGTAAAAATTGCTACAAGATAAGAACGAAAATTTTAGAACCTTTCTGCCAGGAATGCGCAGGGAAGAAATCAAACTTTTTTTCATGATTATAACTTATGCAATGATTGCAATGTGGAATTAAAAATTGCCCCTTCTGAAGTTAAAATGTTATGCCTAAAATGCGCTTTGATTAAAGAAAATATTTATTTCAACATTACTCATGAAGGTGAGAATAAAAGAACCACCTAAAAACTATTATTTGAAAAACAGAGAAATCATTTTAAAACTCAAAGGTTTGAATTTTTACTCAATATTGGTCGAAGGGGTTATTTCTGTTTACAACGCTTCAAATGAATTTGTTAATTATGAAAAAATAAATTGTAGCCTTTTCGTTTCAAGAATTATAGATTATATCACTTCTAACAAAATAAATCTTTCAGAAAAAACCAAAAATGCCGTAATTTACACTCTTTTCTCACACATCATAATCTGCTCAATTAGAAAATAAAAGCCTTCGCCGTGAAAGTTAAGCCGATGACGAAGTTTTCAACACTCTCTCCTCAGAATAGTAATTTAACAAATAGATTAACCCATCTCTCGTTAAGTTTTCCGGTCCATTCTTTCCCAGACGAGTAGATTCATTCTTGAGCTCGACAAATGACCGGTGAGAGAGGCGCTTCAATTTCATTTACGCTATAATTTTTTCTTTGCCCGGGGAAATTTCCCTCACCATTTCTTGCAACTCTTCAAGTGATTTGCTCCAAGGATAGTGAGCATCATTAAGCAAATGCTCCAAATAACAATAATAATAATAATAATAATAATAATAATAATAATAATAATAATCTTTATTGAGGATATCAATTTCACTGATAAGTGATTTACAAAAGAGTCCTCAAACCGTTGGTAGCCATCGTTCTATATAACCGGAATATCCTTTGTCTAAAATAATATATAGATTTAGCCACGGCTAAAAGCGAAGCTCCCATTGATAAATTTATGACTTAAATTAAACAATAATTTTGTATTCCACAAATTAGTTAACTTAAGGGCACATTCATGTGACTTTTGAGGGAAAAGCTAAGTGATTTTGGAGTGAAACAAATCTTGTATCGAGTTGATATAGCCTTTTGTGTACACCCAAAAAACAGTCTTCGGTCACATTTAAGAGCCGTAATGGCTCTTGATCACAGTAGATAAGGCGTGGAAAACAAATTCTTGGAAAACAAATCAGGCCGAATTTTTTGCGTTCGACAAGTTTACAAATTCTTACCAATAAATCTGTATGTGTGCGTGCAAACCAATCTTTTCTTTTTTATATACACCAAATCTGAGGAGAAAGAGTACTATGACGGAGGCGCTGTTTTTATCATACAGACCTCGTACAAAATGCAGTATTTCACAATTTTTCAAGGCAAATTGCATTCATTCAATATTCAGGACCATCGAAGCAAGCGTGCACTTTTAATTAGCGAAACCGTTCAAAAATTTCCAAAGTCACCTATGCGGCCAGCCGGTTCTAACTTTTGACAAGCGCCAAATTTGCGAAGAAATTTCAAAAGAGTTACGCTTCAACGTGATAAAGGATTTATTGAGTCTATTTTCTATTAATGGTTTTATAACGATGTGTAATCTTAAAAAGCGTTTGATACGCTCGGCATTTTGAGTACTCCTGCAAGCGATGTTTATGAACGGCTGAAAACAAACGGCAAAGCGATGACACTTTTGAGACTACCAACAATCAATAAAGAAATATAATTCGGTAGAACATTTACAGAGACAACAATTTTCATTCACGAAAACAAAAGAGTATTTAAGTGTCTCTAAGAATCCTCAAGTCTTTACTAGTAAGCTTAAAGATTAAGTTTATGTTTTAAGCCGCCGGTTTCCTAGCCTGAATTTTATCCGATTACTTCGAGTCGTTATTACTCCCCCAGTAACTGTTGAGAGGAGAAAACGACTCGAAGAAATCGGATGAATTTCAGGCTACCGGTGTCCCGGTGTTTGCTGTTTTCAAAGATGAACTCAGGACAAGAAAATTGCTCAAAGCTTTCTTTCTTCAGCCAAAATTATAACTAAATATTCTTCGGAAAGTCTTCTCTTTCGATTTACGGTGAATTAATATCGACTAAAGGCTTTTTAAAGTTCTGTAAGCTTAAGCTTATATCAAACCTCATGGCTAGGTCAGATCAGTGTCTCAGTCAAATCTTAATACAAACGTGCATAAACTAGCTTCATAAACTGTGCCGCTGGACTTAATGAAATTAGATATAAATACAATAATTACTCAGGCTTACCATATTTCGAGATGCAGCTCCTGAAAGCTATCAAGTAAGGCAAGGATCGCTTGAGCCTTTATAACTCTCGCACGCATGCAGCAAGGTGAAAAACGAAAACGATGCCATCCGAAATCTGATTATCGCCTTTGACAAGCGACGCATTTCTCAACCAAAAACCCAATAAACAAACCAGCCATGAATAAGAGAACTCTCTTGATAGCGGCTGTATTTTATTTTGTACATCCAGTGGAAAAGGGCGGTTAAAAACATCACAAGTTGACTCAAAACTCTGTCAGCTTCAGCTGTCAAAGTAAACAACTTTCAAGATGCTGCATAAATTTTACGCATGAACTCACCTGCCAAATTTTAACCAATCAGAACATAAAAATTGGACGTGGAGCGTGACCAACACGTGACCATGGTAAGAAAAGGTCTTCCTCGCCTGTATTAAAAAAAAAAAAAAACTGGCTGAATTTTTGCGTCTGAGGTCAGTTTGAAATCAAAATCGTAATAGTGTGGGGCGATACTGACATAAACACATCATATCTGATATGAATTTAAAAAGAAATAAACGTGAGCCTGCGATCATTTGAAAAAAGGAAACTGTCAGCGGATAACTTCAAAAATACTCGACGTTGATGGGTCGACACCTGAGCCCGCGATACGGTCAGGTGATACTGGTCAGCGGATACCCTGTTTGGACAGCTGTCAATTGATGACAACATTGATGTGCAATCAGCTTCCTCCTGGGCTCCCAAAGTAGCTAGAAAGTGTGAGAGTAAACATTGGTATAGCTGTGGTGTGGACGGACGGTCGGTCGCTCGGTCACGTGATTACCAAATTTTCTGGGATGGGTAGATTTATTTACCCATGGTGCTCCGCTGGCGCGCTTCGCGCGCGGAGCTCCGCTATCATGATGTTGTCTATGTCTAAACCTTTCCCCAGCCGATTAACCATTCATACATCAAAAGGGAAACCCCGCGGATTAGTCCTATTGTTGTTCCCTTGAGTAGACAAACAACATTCAGGAGCTAACCCGCATTCCGATGCGACCCGAAAAAAGTTTTTCATAAGAACCCTTTCTGCGCACACTTTTTTTGCATCGCATCAGAATTTTGGGGTCGCTTTACAATGCGGGGCTCACCTTGAAATGTCACACACGTCTTTGTTTCGTGACTGCTGTTGGCTTGTGGCCGCTGTTAGCAGCGAACTCCAAGTACGTTACGTGGCGTCACAATTTGTATTTAGTTTTTTTTACCCCTGATTTGATGATAAAACGGCCAAGGCAGCGAGGAGACACCGAGTTGCGTTGGCAGATTTATCATCAAACAAGGGTAAATAAACCAATACATGTTTGATGCCACGTATACTCAGGCTAGGTCAAACTAAGGCATATGAGCCGATACCCGAGATTAAATGAAAATATCAGAATGCTAGAGATGCATTATCTGAGGATGAAAATTTAAATATCTAACTGTCGCAATTAATCGTCCATCAGTGGGATGCCTAAAATGCTTGCAATTCGACAATTGCTTTCGGCGTCATTAAATCCTCCACTCACCTTCACATACCCTCATTGCAAAGAGGGCCTTCACGGAGTTTTTCGACCTCTTTCTGTCGGCTGCTACTTAACTTGCACCTCGTCATAAGCAACATGTCACTTAAAGACTACTGTCCGAATTTTGTCTCATAAAACACCAAATTATAGCTAAAATTCGACATTATGTCCCGCGTCGTGTTTTACTTTCAGTTTACAACTCATTAATTGTCCCTTACTTGACTTATGGTATTTGTGGTTGGGGAAATTGTGCCTTGACATTTCAACGAAAGATCGTAACTCTACAAAAACGGGCCTTACGTCTCATTTACTTCAGTAAGTCTAAGGAACACGCCGTACCCTTCTTTCTCAAATCAAATTGCCTTCCCCTGCCTAGCATATTTTTCAGAGATTGTAGCTATTTATTGTATGATATCAACAGACAGACAGCACCAGTTAGTATTCTCAATCAGTTCGTTAAAACAAGTCAGCTTCATAACTACAGAACAAGATCTGTCTCTAGCGACTCGTTTTATGTTAAGTTCTCTAGAACCGATAAAATGTATGCCTTTTTCACGAGAATCGGTGCCCAAATTTGGAACTCTATTCCGTATTCGATTAAAATACTTAAACGTTCGTCCTTTCGTAAAAAAATAAAGGAATTATTACTAAATTTTTTGCGGTCAGAAGATGATTATGTCGAAGTCTCCCGTCTTATTAAGTTATTTAATACTTTAGTTAACCTCTCTTCGTAATCGTTATGTACATGCCTTGTTTTTTGTTTTTTGTTTTATGTTAGTTTAAACTCTATTTACTGTATTGTAGTGTCTTCACTGTTATTTAGTCCATCTATATATAATTCTTGTTTTGTAATATGTCTTCAGCTCCCCCCGCCTCGATTAGTTCATAAGCTATTTGCGGGTGGGAAAGTAATGTAATTAGTTATTTTCCAATTTTCAATAAAATTTGTTGTTGTTGTTGTTGTTGTTACACCGGCTTTGTCAAGTTACAGACTTTTCCGTAGAAACGGCCTCAAAAGATTCGACAATGGGCCCTCAAAATCAGCGTCTTGTCCTCTGGGCTCACCAAAGAGTGGTGTAGCCTGTGTAAAATCGCCGCCTCCCCTCAAACAAATCAGGGAGGGTGGTGCGGCTCCCTGAAAAGAAGATTTTTCCCATCGATCTGCAGGGACGGCACTGGTTAAAAGGACAGTTCGAAGGGCACAGGTGGCATATTTTTGTTGCTGTTGTTCATTTTGCTGGGTAGTCTGCAACCAGGATTTCGGGAAAGGTGGTGTGAGGCTACAGGGAGCCACGCCCTCCCTTTCCTCTTCCTCCTCCCTTTATTCCTCTGCCCCTCCTTCCCTCTTGTTGCGCTTTCTCGACTTTTTTCCCCTGTCTTTCCAAGAGAGCCTATTCAAATTCGGTAACAAAATTGGTTGAGATACTTTTCCCTAAAGAGCGTTCTTGACGTTTTGTCGACTTCAAAAGGGAAAAATAAGGCTTTCCTTCCCCCTCCTCTCCAAGCAATAGGGACCTTAAGATCCGAGGACGACGACGGCAAACGTGAATTCGCGTTCATTCAATCTTCCACTCGACAGTTCCAACTCATTTACTTTGTCAAATGTAGGCGAACTCTCCTGGAGTTGAATTCCGAAAAACCATATCCAAGTTCAGAAAGAGAAAGAAAATTTCGTAGTAGCTTGTTTACGTCCTCCACAAAAAGTGAAATTAGGCATTTTCACGTCGTAGTCGGGCTGTGACGACAAAGAAATGTACCAAAAAGGGTGATTCACGTGAAAAGTTGTTGTTTTGCTTATCTTTTGACGTTCCCGTTGCCGTCGCAATCGTCGAGTCTTAAGGTCCCTAATGTTGTGCCGCTGTTCGAGCTACCTGTAAGAAACAACAAACACCCAACTTTGAATGGAGGGGAAGGGAAGGGGGAGGCGTGCGGATTGTTTTGTTCTTCGAAGTACCAGGCCAATTTGTTGAGTTCATCTTAACCCCTGAAAGGAGTGAGATACAGAATGAAGATTATGTTAAGTGCCGAAATATGTATTATCATTACGTTACTGTAAAAATATAACTGCATTTTTCTTCAGCAGAAATGTTAGATATGCTGAAATTCTTAAAGCAAATAAGGAAAATCCCCATATGGACCTCGGTAATAACTTTTTTTTATCCTAAACTGTGATACGCAAAAAAGTGTATTAAAGATATATTAATCTCTAGCGTTAAAACTTTCATTTCATGATATCAAGATGTGGAAGGTCGATCCAGAAAAGCCTGGAATACGAATTGAAGGTCCTCTCTTGACGTTTGAATGTAGGGAGGGGTGTAAATTTCGTGCCAGGCATATTCATGGTGCCAGATATTCTCAGCGTCTTTCTCGCGAGTTTCCTTATTTTGAGGTAAGTTTCAGCGGTACTAAAACTTTAGACTTTAGCCTGCTTCGGGATAAAATGACTAAGCCCGTAACATGGCTAATCTTTTCTTGGCGGTTTTAACAAATTTTTTATCAACAACAACTCTCCAGTTTTAAACCGTGCCTTAGAGACTTCAAACCAGGACACTCCTCTTTTAACCCTTAACGAAGCATAGCATCTCCGGACTTTTTAATGGAGGGTGGGATTACAAGTAGGGTTGCTATTTGAATTTAAAAAAAGAGAAAGAAAAAGGGAAAGACCATTTACAATATGTTAATAGTACTAACTTGCACAAGAATTACTGGAGTGCGTTTGTGGTCCGCATTGCGAAGTTGCTTGAAACACCTTCAGGCGTGGAACATAATGCCAGAAACACGATGATGAAAATACATGCGTGCAAATCTTTTCTTAGGATGTTCTTTTCTTCTTACTTTCAGGTTACTATTCTGGAGGCAGGGAAAATCATGTGGCTGGGAATAGGTATTGTGGATGAACAGTACCCAACCATTAAGATGCCTGGGTGGTATGAAGAATCTGTCGGCTACCATACTGACGATGGGAACATATTTCACAATTATCCCTTCGAAGAGGGCGCGAAAGCGACCAAAGGTATGAAACTCTGTCAACGGAATTCAACTTTTAGCCCAAACCCCCTGAATTTTCTGGGACAATTAGAAAGAAAAAATGAATAAAATAACAAAATATTAATGATAATAGTCATTTATATAGCGCTTTTTCCAAAATGTATAAAAGTGCTTTAAAGTGTGCGTAGTAAGATAAAATTATAAAACCTGAGACAAAATTTACAAGTTCATCACTAGCGTAAAAATTAAAAGTTCTTACTCTAAATATTGAAATACTATTGATAACTATAAGAGACTGGCATACGTCTGTCGGAAAGATACGTCTTCAACTGTTTTTAAAAACAGTCTAAAGTCTCATATAATCGTATGTCCTTTGGTAAAGAGTTCCAAAGAGATCGCGCGGATACCGAAAACGATCTATAACCATACGAACGTAAATTATAATGTGGTATTTTCAGTTTCTTATCCGCCGAGGATCTAAGATTACTCTGAGGTATCTGAGGTCAGTAATATATGGTGGTGCTAATCCATTCAGTGCCTTGTATAACAGCAGTATCTTATAATACAAAATTCGTCCTTTTATCGGTAACCAATGGAGCTTGAACAGAACCGGTGTTCAGAGATGTGATCCCGTTTGGGTGTTTTGGTGATAACACTTGCTGCCACATTCTGGACCTTTTGCAGTCGCTCCGAAAGGTTATCAGGTAAACCATATAGCAACACATTGCCATAATCTAGTCTCGAGGTCAGTACCAAGAGCACGTACCAAAGTTTCTGCCGACGTAGTAATGAGATGCTTTCTTATTTTAGTAATCTTTTTGGTTGACTTGCACATATTTATTATATGTTCTTCCATCAAAAGAAACGGTCCATAGTTACTCCAATGTTCTTTGTTTTTATCGGTGGACAAATAACATCGTCACACACAACCAGTGACTGCAGACGGAGAGAAGGACGGTGACGTGCAGATAGAATCAACGCCTCTGTCTTATCGCTAATTAACTTTTAATTAACTTATTAAGAGTCATCCATTTGTCCACATTTTGCATGCGGGTTTCAATCTTTGTTTTTGCAAATTTAGTTCACCAGGGTTAAATGATTTAGGTTGCATTTCTTTTAGCCAATCTAAATCCGGATTTTGCGATTGAAAATTCGATTTTTTTGTTCCATTAAGGACCAAATCAATCTAAGATTGCGATCCGAGCGATCTACCTCTGAACGTGGATCGTTCACATTGGTATCTCAATCTGGTTTCAGATCTTGTTCCATTTAATGAAACTGCCTTTCGATCGCAAAAACGTGCTCGTTCATCAATAAACACGGCGGGTCAAGGCTAGCTCAGGCAAAAGTTATTTTATTACTCCTTCGTTGTTTGATGCCGCTAAAGGATTGTAGCATATTTAACTCAAGTTCCACTGTCACTCTAAATCCGTTAGGAAGAGAAAACGCTTAGATTTTCTCACCGTAAAACTATACTGTCCAATGTCTGTGTGTGTTTAGAACGCGCTTCTCAACGCTTGATGAAAATTCATAATTGCCTTCTGAATTTTCTTGAATCAAATTCCAGATAATTTTAAGTTGAGGAATCCAGTATGAGCCACCACTAGATAAAGAGCTAATTTTCTTTCCGTTTCTCCACGAGATGCTTGATTTAGCAGAAAGAAGTAAAACACGATGCGTTGAAATTGAGAAGAAGATTGGAGCAGGCAGCTGCTGTATGGATCAATCTTATTCAGATTTTTGTTCCGGTTAGCACGAAAATCCAAACAATCTGGATTGTCTAAATGCGAAAAACGTTTTGCTTAAAGGAATGTAACCTTAAAGGTGATATACAGCTGGTTATCATCTGCGTACATATGGTATCCAATTCCATGTTCCCTTATGAGGTCGCCGAGAGGTGCCACATACATTGCAAAAAGTGTAGGCCCGAGGATGCTTCCCTGGGAAACGCTAGATAGTAAGGGACGCTTCGATGATTCGCCATTTGCAACCTGAACCGTAAACGATCTTTCAGTGAGATATGACTTCAACCATTCGTAGACCTTACCAGTGACTCCGTACCTGGAGTGAAGCCTCTGCATGAGAATTTCATGAGCTATTATGTCAAAAGCAGCTGAAATGTCTCAGAGCAACGAGATGACCGAGTTGCCATCATCGATAGCTCTTAAAATATCGTTTTGGACCTTTATTTTAAAAGCCGTTTCAGTACTGTGGTTTACTTTATACGCAGATTGTAGAGGTTCATCTAAGTTGTTGTCCATGATAAGCTGACAGATGTGAACCGCAACAATACAAAAAAAAAACACAGAGCATTTTGATACAAATTTGAGTTAGAAATGGGACGGTAACTAGAAAATTCATCGGTACTCAGGGTTTCCTTCTTCAAGCGTGGATCCAGGACAGCACATTTTAGATTATCAGGGACGGTAGCAGTATCCAATGAAATGTTAATAATTTTGGTGACGGTCCGCAGAACATCTTGCGAAACGTTCTCTCAAAACTTTAGCTGGAATTGGGTCTAGGATGCATGATTCGTTGGCTATTTTCTTGGGAAACTTTGTTAGCTCCGTTTCATTTATCGATGTAAATGCCCCAAACTTGATATGGCCACATAGCGGAAGTGATTCCGGAAGAGGTTTGATTAGATTTGTTGATTTTGTCTGCAGGACATCAGCAATGACCTTTATTTTATTATCGAAGAAATCCGCAAACTTATTGGCCAATTCAGAAGGTGGGGCACACGATTGATAACTCCTCTCAACTGTTCCGTGAAACATCTTTTCTATCTTCTTGAAAAATTCTCTCTGATCAGACCCACAGCCATCTATTATGTCTACATAAATTAGCTGGTCCTTGCAGCGTTGATGAGCTCATTTACAATGACACATTGTTTAGTGTACAGTTCTTTGTGTAACAACGGCGTTCCAGACGACGCCGTATGATCTTTTGTTCTCGGATCTCAGGAGTAAACCAGGGAGAATTTGTACGCACAGTTTTGGTTTTCTCTCTAACAGGTGCATGAACGTCCAGTAATCCAGAGAGGATGCTTTCGTAGTGGTCTATGAGGTCTCTGAGAGATGTACTAGATACTTCTATAATCCTGGAATTTTTTATGTTAGGGACTTTAAGATACGGCGACTTTGGACTACGAACTGCGGCTGGACGAGCGTTGTCCTTTGTTCGTAGCACTGGGTTGAGTCATGCAAATACAGAAAGTTAAAATTGCACTACAGACACAAGACTACGAGAGAAGAGGCGGAGAGGGAAACAACACGCAAAGATTTTCTTGTTTTCATGTTCAGTTCAGAAAAATGCAAGTATTTTGCATGTGATCTTAACTTCAGAATAATGAACAAATTCTTCCATACTTCGGGAAGCAATTTCGTCGGATGAAATTGGTGAACAAAGTTTTGGTTACACATTTTTTTTGTCGCCCATGAATATTTATGTAAAATATTAAAGAAATAACAGAAAAAGTAATAGTTCATTTATTAGATTTAGAAGATGGACTTATCCGATTACTGATGCAGTTTGAAGTATATCAAATTGCCGAGCCGTTTCGATTATCTCAAAGATGTTTACATCATTTTCATTCAGCAAATGCGATATAACTCGCATAAACAAAGGTTACACAAGTAGAAAGACACATTAATCACTTCGAACAAACACTGTCATCGAAACTTTTCAAGTGCGAAGAGAAAGTAAATTACCTTCATGATTTCTGTTCTCGGCCGTCAATCCGAATTCTGCGTATAAACAGCTAAGCTTATTTTTAAAATATAAGCTTAGTTTTAGATAAAAATGTAGTCATAACTTTAAGTGGTTCGAGTACATTAAAAGCGTAAATCTGAGCAGAAATTAGACTCAACTTACATATTTCGCTTCCCTCTCACTTAAAGCAGGTGAATTGAAAACTTTTGTGCGAAAAGAATAGATTCTAGAATTACCGAGACCGCAAAATACGAGCAAAAATAATGTTCTCCGTAGTCGCGACTACGCGAAACAGCTCAGCAACTCACCGTGGCGGCTGGACTACGCGGGAAAAATGAACATTCACCTGGTTCTGATCATGCGCAGTAGCATGTTTATCCTTAGTCATAGTCCGTAGTCGCCGTATCTTAAAGTCCCTGTTGTTGCGAGAACCGACGGACGTCAACTGATTTTAAATTTCTGTACCTCATTTGCTTTCTTTTTGGAGGTGCATTTGCCAGTAGGAGCTTACAATTTACGACAAAATGATCAGAGATAGCAGGATCAGCAGTATTGGTATTCATCACAAATCTATCGCCCGATCTTGTCAGAAGAAGGTCGAATGTTTTTTTGAAATCTCATTTTAACTCTCTTTCTTACCTGTGTGGTGCATATAGCTCGAAACATAATGTGGTAAATTGAAAAACAGGAATATAAAAAATGCGGTATGTATCATAGCGTATATACCGATATTTTTAGTAATACTGGACACTATTATCATAACCCAGCTCAATCGTCGATTTTCACATGTGCCTAATTTAATTCGAGAGGTAACTGCTTTGAAATGGGACGTCTGAATCAACTAAATTCGGCAGTTTCAAATTAAATTCTACTCTGTCGAATCTGCGAGTGAAACAGTCAAAAAGTCGACTTAGGTTCAACATTTGATTTAGAAGTCGCATTTCACATGTGTCGAATATAATGCATTAATTATAGAAACCATTATCCATATTGGATAAAAAAGAAAATTCTAGAGACTGGGAATATTTAAAACAAACGGAATTAAATTCGGCACCATCATGTCCGATGTCTGAATCAACTGCCCTAATTAAAATTACTTTCATCGACTAAAATAGGTGTTCGGCGCTCATAAGAAATTCCACGTTTGAAAGGGGCCTAACATGACCCAAGTTTCAGCTTAGTGGTTTGCAGGCTGTTATTAAGTTGTTGTTTTGTTTTCAGTAATAGCAATTCGTATCTCTCTTTGTAAATCCATTTTTAATATTTATGGGCTTTTTGTGCCGCGACTTAGGAATCAGCTGCAATAACAACAATAACAACAAATTGTTGAATCTGTACATAATAACTGCAATATGATATGGTGTCAGATCATCCAGCTTGATTATGTTCATTTTCTAAATATAGGACTCGAGTGTATGAAAACTTGTAAATGTCATAAGGCGAATAGCTCTTTTTTGTAAAATAAGAGAGGTTGGAGAGTTGTTGAATAAGTGTTGCCCCACGCAGTTATTCCGTAAAGTCAAGTCAAGTCAATTTTTATTTAAACTCACACAGAATAATTGTAATTAATACAAATTAGTGCTTTAAAATATAAAATCGAGAGATTGTGAAGGAAAAGAAATTTTCAAATGTAGGTTCATTGTGCAGAGTTTGGGACACCTAAATAGGTCGTGGAACTAACCGCGTAGGTGACCCAAACAATAATATGAGTAGAAGGAATATAGATGCAAAATAGTTGTTTTAGATAAAAAGTATTACTTCATTAATTAAATAGTAGTTAAAGATAATATAATCGTAAAACATTGGGAATCAATAATAGTATTACAACCATCAATCACAGAATTCTTGATATATTGACGAAAACTGGAAAACGGCTTGATTTTCTTAACTTCAATAGATAAAGAATTCCAAAGTTTTGGACCAGTGTAACTGAGAGAACGAAGAAGAATGGATCCCTCAGTTGGCCATTTATACATACAAATTGTTCTCTATTGGACAGATACGATTGAAACCAGTCATACGCCTTACCTCTCACTCCGTAATGATTCAGTTTTGATAAAAGAATGCAATGATTAACTGTATCAAATGATTTTTTTAGATAATTGAAAATGCCACAGCCAAACTCATTGTTGTCAATTGAGTTACGGATTGATTCAGTAATTTGTATCAGTGCATGATTTGTCGAGCACTTTTGCCTAAAGCCAAATTGAAGTGGATAAAGAATGTTGCGAGATTCAAGATAGCCATAAAGGCACTTAAACACAGCCTTTTCAAAAATTTTACTAAAAGTAGATAGAACTGATATTAGCCTATAGTTATCTTTGTCTTGCCTAGAGCCTTTCTTAAAAACTGGTATAACTTTTGCCCATTTAAGTTTACTGGGGAAAATACCACAGAGAAAAGAGTCGTTAATTAGGGATGAAATAAGTGGGGAAATATGAGTCTTAAGAATTTTTAGCAATGGGACTGAGATATTGAGATATATATGAATCAACTTCAACTGAAGCAACAGGGGAGAGAAACATTGAGTCAGGAAAATTGCCCTTCAGAAAAGAGGTTGGACAGCACTTCCCACGCGGAATGTCTTTGTCAGTGTTTTTACCCACATTAACAAAGAAATTATTAAAAATGTTAGCAATAGCACAGGGATTATCAGCAGTTTTCCACTTTCTAGAATACTGGGAATGTAATCAGCTTTAACTTTACTAATGTTGATGATTGATCGAATTCCAGACCAGATTTTTTTCATATTATTCTTATTACACAAAAAGTAATTCTTGAAATAATCAGATTTGCTCACTTTAACATCTTTGACAACACTATTACTGAATTTCTTATGAAGATATATCAAATTTGGATATGAATGTTTACACCTAATGTTACTACAGCAGTGCTGTAGTAAGGAGTTTTCAGTATTTATGGTCAGCGGTTGCTACCATTTTGCTTAGGACTCGTGCTAGCTGCCGCCATATTCTTGTTTATCACATGTGTGATTTAGGTTTACAATCCATGTAATCCTTCGCTCATCCGTATCGTGTAAGAGAGACTAAGTTGTTATCTGAAGAACTGAAGAGTTAAAGATTATTTGGAGATAAAGGAAAGATCTGACGATTCAAGTTTTTCTCTTTTTCTTGTGAATAACAACGAAACTCCTTCGGATGCCAAGTACGACTTTCGAGGGCAGCCACAATAACAACTTAATGGTCCTTGGTGAAGCTTTTAACCACCGTAAAGTCATCGCTGTCACAACAAGAAGTTCATAACGAAAGCCGGACGACCTGTGGAGGATTTGAATGCATACCAAGTGGTGTAAGCCTTTGTAGAAAGTTAGTTCTGATCGCCTTTGGTTTGGACTTAGTACTCGTCATGTCTCGAGAGTTGAGTGATATTCCCGAGGATTCCATGGTTTGCGGGCTTCTGCTCCATCATTCTCACCGGGAGCCGTAACACAGTCAGTATTTACTGTTCGTCATTTTGAACCTGAACTTGGTCTTCCCATTCAAACAGAAGCAGCTTGTACACAAGCTTTCTCGTCGGCAAAAATTGATCCTGTTGTAACTAACTCCATACGTGGTCCATCACCAATTACGTCTACAGTTATGAATTCCACTTCAAGTTACCAGTTTGTTCATCCTCAAGGTCAAGTTAACACCTTCTTTGAAGGGTGGGAAAAGGTTGCTTCATCATTAGAAAGGTGTATGGACAAGTTAACCGAAGCTAACTTAGAACAAAGTACTGTGAGCAAAGAACTGTTTGTTTCTGGACAACTTCCAAAACTGACCATTCCAGTATTTGAAGGAGACCCCCTACAATATCCTGTGTGGAAGAGTGCCTTTAATGCTCTAGTTGACTCTAGACCATTGGCAGCAGACATGAAGCTGAATATGTTGAATCAGTTTGTAACTGGAAAACCAAAGCAAAACCAAAGTTGTGGAAAATTATCTTCTGATTGGGACAGAAGAAGCTTATCAGACAGCTAGGTCTGTATTGCAGGAAAGGTATGGAAACTGTAATGTTGTGAGTACAGCATTTATTAACAAGTTGGAGAAATGGCCTAAGATAGGACCCAAGGATGCCAGTGCCTTAAGGGAGTTCTCAGACATGTTAGACAAGGTATCAGCAGCAAAGAACACCATTCCAGGTCTTTCTGTACTGGACTATGCAAAGGAGAATGAAGAGTTACTATCCAAGTTACCCTACTACCTTGAAACCAAGTGGAGAGATGCAATTAAACAATGGAGACATACCCATGGTGAAGCCAGTTACCCTACCTTTGCTAAGTTTGCAGATTTCATCAGAGAAGCAGTAGGAAAGGCAAACATCCCAGAGTTAGAAGGCCTCGCCACATCAAGTAGTCCAAGATTTAACAGAAATCCGAAGCTGAAACCAGATAATGAGAAGGGTAGTTCTCTTTCTACATCAGCTAAGGGTGGTGGTAACAGTAAATCAGACCCCACTAATTCTAGTAAATCAAAGGACCCTGGTCCAAATGGTTTGACGAAGTGTCTGTTTTGTAGTGCAAAGCACAAGTTAGATGATTGCGCTGATTTCTGTAGAAAGCCTTTCAGTGAAAGGAGAGACTTCTTCTTCCGCGAACGTTTGTGTATGGGTTGTGCGGCCAGTAAGAGTCATCAGGTAGCGAACTGCAAGGAGAGGTTGAAATGCAAAATGAAAACATGCTCAGGAACACATCCCACATGCCTTCACAAGGAACTAACACAAGACAATTCTGCCATATCAAATTGTATGAGTGTATGTCTAATTCCTGAACAAAGCGGTGGATTTGATCACACCATGATAGTACCAGTGTGGGTCAGGCCAGTGGGAGAGCCAGAGAAGGAAATCTTGCAGTATGCAGTCCTCGACGATCATTCAAATGTCAGTTTTGTGTCTGAGACTCTTTGTGAACGGTTTAACCTGCAAGGCCCATCAACCGAGCTTCTGTTGACAACAATGCACCAGCAAAATGCCCGTGTTAAAACTAAAAAGACATCTGGGCTAGAGATTCTTGACTACCATAGAGAATGTGTAGTGAAGATGCCAGTGGCCTTCACCCGGGAACTTGTTTCAGCTAACCGGTCGCAGATTCCAAAACCTGAAGTGGCTAGGGAATGGCAACATCTGAAGCCCATCGCCGATAAGTTGACACCGTACCACCCAGATGCAAAAATTTCTATCCTGATTGGAAACAACTGCCCAAGAGCTATCCGACCCAGGGAAATAGTTGCCGGTGAAGATGACAAGCCGTACGCTCAGAGGACTATACTTGGTTGGGGAGTTATTGGAAGAGTCTGCAAGTCTAATAATGTTGAAAACACAGACAAGGGTGTGTGCAATAGAGTTGCAGCTTCAGAAAATTCGTAGCCAGTTTGCATTCGCCACGAAGGCTAAAGAGATTATTGGCCCAGAGAAAGTTCTCCGTGTGTTAGAAACTGACTTTGTTGAGACAAGTCCTAAGTACGAACCTTAATCTATGGAAGATGAGAGATTTCTAGGGATTCTTGAGGACGGAGTAAAGAAACAATCAGATGGACGTTACGTGATGCCACTTCCGTTGAAATCAGACAGTGTGTGTCTTCCAGAGCAGCTGGTTGAAGGATCTCTGTGGTTAACTGGTCCAGAATTCTTGTGGAGAAGCGGACCCTGTGAACCAGAAAACGTGGAGCTGCCTCGCCTTCAAGACTCTGACCCAGAGGTGAAGAAAGTGTCTGTTTTGACCACGAAGGTCAGAAGTGTTGCTCCATTTCCAGGTCAGTTTGAAATAAGCAGACTAGATGGTGTATCTAGCTGGTACCGTGCTATAAAGGTCATAGCTCTATGTTTACCTCTGAAGTCCAAGCTTCAAAGAAGGGAAATTAAGAAACCCGGGAGTCCAGTAACAACGTCAAGTACAGACGTTGAGAAGTCAATACTGAGAGTTACACTTCCAGAGCTTCAGGAGGCAGAGAAGACCATCATCAGATGTTTGCAGTAAGAGTGTTTCCGAGAGGAACTTCAAATTCTCTGCGACTTAAATGTAACCAACGGAGAGACAAACAGAAACCAAGCCAGAAAGAGGAACCAAGCGTTACGAAAGACCAGTTCGCTGTACAAACTGGATCCATTTGTGGACCATGATGGCATAATTCGTGTTCGTGGTCGTATCAGAAGAGCAGATACACCAGTTGATCTGGAGCATCCAGTCATTATTCCGCGAAAAGGACACTTGACTGAACTGTTGATTCAACATCACCATCTCAAAGTGAACCATATGGGTCGTGGTATGACGCATAACGAGTTGCGGCAAAGTGGCTATTGGTTGATCAATGGTTCATCAAAAGTAGCGAGGTTCATATCGAGTTGTGTGACATGTAGACGACTGCGTAGGCCCACTGAGCAGCAGAAGATGGCCTGCCTTCCTGACGACAGACTTGAACCAGCTCCTCCCTTCTCGTTGTGTGCCGTTGATTACTTTGGACCGTTCATTGTCAAAGAGAGAAGAAGTGAAGTTAAGCGCTATGGAGTATTGTTTACATGTATGGGGTCACGAAGTGTTCATCTAGAGACTGCCAATTCATTGGAGAGTTCTTCATTTATCAATGCATCGAGACGTTTCATGAATCGGAGAGGTGCTGTGAGACAACTGAGGTCCGACCAAGGGACAAATTTCATTGGTGCACGAAGTGAACTGAAACGAGCATTGTGCGAGATGAATCAAGATCATGTTCAAGACTATTTGCTAAGGAATGCATGTGAGTGGATTCCATTCAAGTTGAACGTACCCCATTCTAGTCACATGGGCGGAACATTGGAACGTATGATTCGTAGTGTACGCAACGCACTTGAACCACTACTGTTACAAGCTGGCAGCCAACTTGATGATGAGACATTGCGAACACTCTTGACAGACGTCGAGTGCATTATTAATTTAAGACCCCTCAGCGTCGATAATTTATGTGATGCAGAAGCGCCAGAGCCGTTGACTCCTAACCATCTTCTTACTATGAAACCTAAAAGAGTGCTACCACCCCCAGGAAAGTTTCAAAGAGCCGATATGTATTGTCGTAGACGTTGGAGAAGAGTTCAGTATCTTCAAATGTTGCAAGTCAGGCAAAAGTGGGTCCAGCCTAAGAGAAACCTTGCTGTTTGTGATATAGTCATCTCTAAGGAAAGTGAAAGCACGCGCAACAAGTGGCCACTTGGCAAAGTAGTGCAGGTGTACCCAAGTGACGACGGATATGTCAGAAAGGTCAGGTTGCTGATGGCAGACGGGAATTTGGATGATAGTGGCAAACGCCAACGCCCACCATCATATTTAGACAGACCTATACACAAGCTCGTTCTATTGTTGACTGCAGATGAAGTGTTCCAGGAATATGTCTTTCACGAGGAGACTAGGGAAGTCCTCATCGAGGAGCCAACGAAGAACAATTGAAAGACATTGCAAAGGTTTTATTGTCAATGAACATTGTAGCGAACGCTTGATGTTGATTAACTCATTTAACATTCATTCGCTGTTGCCGATCAGTGACTCGAGCTTTCGAAATTCTACTGTTTGAGTATCGAACTGATAGTCTGTTGAACGTTTAGCCTTAGGGACTCATGTAGGTTTATTGTTTTGTCTTAACTGCATGAGATGCAGTTGAGGAGCCATGTTACTACAGCAGTGCTGTAGTAAGGAGTTTTCAGTATTTATGGTCAGCGGTTGTTACCATTTTGCTTAGGACTCGTGCTAGTTGCCGCCATATTCTTGTTTATCACATGTGTGATTTAGGTTTACAATCCATGTAATCCTTCGCTCATCCGTATCGTGTAAGAGAGACTAAGTTGTTATCTGAAGATCTGAAGAACTGAAGAGTTAAAGATTATTTGGAGATAAAGGAAAGATCTGACGATTCAAGTTTTTCTCTTTTTCTTGTGAATAACAACGAGACTCTATACGTATTTTGGCAAGAATAGGTTTAGTAATCCAGGGCGTAGTAGATAACTCAATTTCACGTTCGGAGAGCTTTCTACATGGTACATGAGAATTTATAAATTGAGATATTTGATCATAGAAAATATCAAATTTAGTGTTGGCATCCATATAATCACTTGAGATGTTATTCCAGTCTAGAAGTGAGAAATCATTGATATATTTCTCTTCATCAAATTTGGAAAAGTCATTTTATAATAACCTTATAGTTAACTTTGAGATTGTCTACAATCAGGAATTGAGGAAGATGATCAGAGATTTTAGATACTAGGTTACCACTGATGGCATTCATAGCATAAGTATTTGCAAATATATTATCAATGAGGGTTGCTGATCTTTCAGTAATACGTGTTGGTTATAAGATATAAGGTAGATGAGAAAAAGAGTTTAGCATTAGTAAGAAATCATTAGATTCAGGATGACTTTCACTATTTAACAGGTTAATATTAAAATCATCCATAATGAAGATGGACTTACTTTCACTAGTTAGCTGAGATAGAGTTGACTCCAGATGTTCTCTGAACCTCACAGGGCTAAAGGAAGGGTGTATATAAGCACAGCAACATAAAATATTTTTAGCTATAGTATTAAGTATTTCAACCCAGATAGTTTCAAATTCATCATCAGTTGTACTTAGGTCAGTACGCTTAAAAGCATTTAAAGTATGTGTAGTGTAAATTGCCACACCACCAACAGCAGATCTGGAGGGTTGTGAATGTAATTCATAACCATCCAAGTTATTAATCATTTTGAAACCTGAGGAATAGTTTTCTCTAGTCTCACTAATGCCTAAGACATGAAAAGGAGAATTCATCAAAGCAAGTATAGTCTGCAGGTCACCCAGATGGGCATCAATACTATTTCAGTTAACGTGAAATAAGGAGAAATAAGATGGCGAAGATGATACATGTAAAGCTAATTTGTCAAAATCTGATGGATAATAATATTTAGAATTTATAGGATTAGGTATATTTGACTCAATATCAGAGATGTTTAGACTTCTGAGGGTAGTAATCTTAGAGATAATATCGAGGGAGGGTAGCAGTTCAATATCAGAAGGTTTCCTAGAATTCATAAGAATGTTAAATTCAATATCATTTAAAGAACTAAAGGGAAATAAATCAATAGTGCATATTTTACAGAAGAATACCTCATTGTTAAGTTTTAAGTGTTTGCAGTCCATTACACTTGCCATGGATCCACAGATGGCAGATTCCACATTTGACTGCATCATTACAACTTGCTGTTAACTTCTGGCATATGCCACAAGTAAATGTTTGATTATGTGATACGCTGTTCATTTGCTATCAGATAAAGTGAATAAATCTATACATTTAAGCCATGAGTTGAACCATTCGGTCTGTCTCTGATAATGAGCTTATCGAAAAAGGTTAAATTAATGCATAGTAGAGGTTAGACAGTACATTGATATCGACATAATAGCGAATCTTGGATAGTATTCTAACACCTCTCTTTCTTTTGGTGGAAATATATTGAATCTGAAATTTCCATGACAAACTTGTGTCAATGAAGACGCTAAGATATTTTATACACTTTTCCTGATTTAAGCACTTGTTTTCTAAGATTAATGGAAATCACAAGAAATCTTTTTTTTGTGGAGGATGGAAGCTAACAAAACTTGATTTTTGTATATTTAGTGAAAGCTTGTTAGAACGAAGCCACATACTAACATTGTTTAGCTCAGTATTCATATTTTGTTGTAGAAGATTTATGTGTCATGTTGTGTGTAGTACAAAAGAGATTAGCATCATCAGCAAAAAGGTGAAAGTCAAATTCAAAGTTGATTTTGCTTTCTCTTTGAAATGATTTGTATGTCACTGGACATGATTTGTATATCAAAAAGAGCGATCAATTTTCATCCATCCATTTCAATAAAAGCAAATGGAATCACTTCTCACTATAGCGGACAACCTTCGTCGTATAAATATGCGGTACCGAAGAAAGACGAAAAATAGCCTGAGTATCAGACCTTCCTAAGGGGCTAGGGGAGAGGAGATTTAAGATGGGGGAAGGGGGAGAGGGGAGAAGAGAAAGGAAGGCCTGCCACAAAACCATTCAGCAAATCGTGTGACACGTCCAAAATCTGGATGTGGCAGTGATTGGATAACACACAATACCCTCAGACGTCACCCACCGCAAGTAAATACGGAAAGGGCGATCGGTAAGGAGAAGCCATTGAAATTTTTCACAGATGGTTTGATTTCATGTGGTACTTTTATGGACAGAGGAATTCAAAAAGGCTCTACAGGGCGCTCTGAAGTTCTTTCCTGGAATAAAAATAAAACCGGAGCAAGAATTGTGTTTTAATAGCCTCGTAGTTAAAACGAAAGATGTTCCCGGAGTATGGAAAAGCCTCATATACCAGCTTCTGCCGAAACTATGTCGGAGTATTGGTTTCACAAGACCGGGACAAAGAAGACGTTTCATATCAGTGCTTCAGATATCTAAGTTCTGATTTACAACATCCTGCCGTTAAAAGGGTATTGTTACTGTAAATAAAATCAGAGCGAGGTAGCCATGTATTGAGAATAGCCGACAGCACCAAGGCTTTAGCTTGACTTTGCTTGTGGCGGTTACGATAGCGTACGTGACCAGGGTACGTGATTGAAATTCGTTTGCTTCCTCTTCCAAATTTGTTTTCACTTTTGAAATGTCTTAAGCTCAAGCGGGCGCCATCATATTTCGCCAACGATTGACCTTTGCTATGGGCTCTTACTTCTTTCTTAACAGAACTTGTAACAGCTTTCACGAGCTCTCTGTGAAGTGGTGGAATTTGCTGCTGCTTGATAATTTTGTAGGCGTAGGTGTTTCACCATCACACCTTCCGATATATCCTTGCACCTCCTTTTAACCACCCGGGAATACGAGGGATAACCAACAAAACCTAAAGAAAAAAAATAGATTTTCCCTCGCACGATTCTCGGCCTTATCTACATCAGGTTTTTGCTGTCAGACTCTCAGGAATCTGCTCATTAATGAGTGCCTGTTGTAACTCTTTAAACAAAAGCAATTTACAATTTTCCGGACACACGTTTATTTACAAACAGAGCGTTGGCGATCTTACCCTAGCACAATTCCTAAAACATGTTATAATTCCTCAAAAGCGGCAGGTTTTCCATTACAAGTATTCGAAAACTCCTCATTGGAGGTTTCAGAAAAAAGCGAAATCGTAGCAACACAAGCACCGGAGCTTGGCGAGACCGTAAGGTGAGATTTTATTTTAGGTGAGTTTTTTGACACGTGAAGCTGACAACCCAATGACCGGAAGTGATTTTGATTGGATGGTATAGAAATCATGCTGGGGGTGGAAGGCTCCAGTAAAGGCATCTGTGTCAGGCGTTTCTCTCCTTCAGCTCTCTCCCTTTTTCGCTTCCATCTTTTCCCTTTTCCCCCCAGAAACGCCTGATACTCAGGCTAACTCAGGTAGCCCTTTTTGATCAAATTATTTTAAGGTTTAAACTCGAAGCTTTATATGGTGTGAAATCATTATAATTTACTTTTACCGTATCACTTGAAATAATTATAGCAATAATAACAATAATAGTAATGGCGATAATAATAATTATTATAAAAATAATTATGAAAGTAAATTATGTTTGTCATAAAAAATCTTCCAGAATCCTTATGAGGCAATTCATTCATCCGTTCGTTCATTTATCTTGCCATTAACCACGTAGGAATACATCAACAATATACAAGAAATTTATAATATACTAGTAATAACTGCCAATTAGGGGAGTGCGTTCGATGGGGAGGCGGGGGGTGGGGTGATGGGCAGTGAGTGGTAGTGGGAAGGGGGTGCAAAACCTGATGGGCTTGTAATATTGAGAAATCAGAATCAAACACTTTTATCAATACGAATATCAGCAGATGTCTTTATCAGTGTTTTTGTTTATCCTCCCACTTTACAATTCGTTACTATTTCATTTTTCCTCAAAAATACAAGAACGTGGTGCTTTTTACATTTACTTGGCTAAACCTCTAAGTAAAGTACATGTAAGTAACAACAGGTCAAACACTGACTATGATCCTCAGGATATTCCTTTGCACTCTAGGATGGTCAATAAAAATGGCTAAAAATTGGGATACAGAAAAATTAAAGTTATCTGAAAAGTTTAAGCGTCGAGTATCACTTTAAACCCTTGTTGCGTGACACTAGGCTAACACGACTCACCTCATTCAAAGAACCCGGAATTAGTGAGATGAAAAGGTCAACGTTTCACTGTTCAACGTTTTGTATATTTTTCAAATATGGTGACAAACAAAAGCAAATACAACGCAGTAAATAGCTTTTAAAAGCGAAAGATGTAATTTGTAGAATTAAATATGGTCGATCTAAGCTGATCTTGCTTGAATTCGTAAAACAAATACAGTGTGCAGAACGCATTGTAAACATAATATCTATACCTGGATTTTTAAAAACCGGGTTAGGAAAAATATCAACTCATTCTACTAGCTGGCAGTTGAAAACAATAAAATTCGTTCAAAGGCCGATTAAAAGCGTTTATTTGACGCCGGGCAGTAAGTTAATGGTCCCCAGAAGCATTCCAACGAGTCCCCAAATTTAAAATGACGCAAATTTTCGAACATTTTCAGTAATCTGACTTCGCGAAGTTTCAAACCGGTGTCATTTCAGTCTAGAAATTTTTAAGTTGAGTGAACTGTAGCGAAAGAGTGCCTGGTTAAGGCCTACATATCAACTTAAATAGCTAGCAAAACACAACTTTTTTCGTGGTCCGATGAACAACAGGATTTCGCGCGCATGGAATAGATAAACAAACTGAATGAAACACAGTGCACAAATTATCACCTTCTTATCTGCCAAAATAGTCCTATGGTTCAATGCCATTAGAGCCCGCTGAAACTAGACCTAGATCCAATTTTCCTAAGTCGAGAGTTGCTCTTACAAGGGACAATCAGCTAAGCTAAACACCGACGAAACAGTATTAATGGCTGGCACAGAATATTTTGGCCAAACCGCAGTTCAACCACGCGATCACATACCTGTCAACACCATGCGGAAATCACGCAATCACACACGTTTGCGGCACTGACAAGACTATCCACAACCACGCATAATCTTCTCACGTTCAACATAAGCGAAATATCATCGAATAACTCGGAAAAACTCAGCCTACTGGCAAAAACACGTCTGGACTTTTCTGTAACACTCGTCTTATTCAAGTTCCCGGATGTACTGTCACACGGTCGGCGGGCACCACCTTCGGCTTGTTTCCACACCAGAAAACAAGACGCTGTGGGAGCGTACACTTGGGCGTGGTTGTTCTTAGCGTATGTGAAGTTTGTTATGTGTGTGAGGGATATGTGGGTAGTGCAGTGGTATTGTGTATTTGAGGGGTTAGTTGAGATGTGTGAAGTAGTAGGCATGGAGTTATATTGGAAATTGATTGCTAAGATGGTGGGTCTAGTTTGTGAGGTAGTTACTGGGTTTCTACGAGGTTGTTGTTATTGGATGTTGGTAATAGAGTCAAACTCTGTTAATAGTGGCACTGAGGTGTTGATAGAAAATGTCTGTATTAAGTGACATGTTTTACAAACATACTGTTTCCATCAAATGAAGACTGCACACTGAAAAAATTTTGACACGAATATTCTCTTTTGTTAAAAATGTGGAAGATCAACTGGCGTAATATGTCTTTTCACACCCATCACATTGTACTGTGTATTCCCAATACTAGCAAAGGCAGATAAAGTTCCTGAAGTCCAGAGTCCACATGGATTAATAACAGAGTATCACATTGCATAAACTGCTATAGCACAGCACTGTTTACAACATTGGTGTAAACTATTAAGAGCGACTCTCCATAGGGACCGAGTGAGATTGAAAAAATGTGGCACAAGGTCGGAAAAATCGATCCCTTGATATTTCGTCCAGAGATAACCTATGATATGCTAAGAATCGTGATATAAGTTTTAGGTTCTAGAGTTTTTACATTTTTGAGAAAATTACGAAAAACCGTCGACAACCCGTGAAGCCGAAAAATCACAGAAATGAGGTCAAATTTCATGATCAGATAATCGAACTCGCGTGAAGGCGCATAGCAAATTATGGTTTTCCTTAGTTTATAATTTTAGTAAGAAGGGTTGCTAAGCTGCTTTGATGATATTTTAGACTTACAATTCTAATTCCGAATTCCTGGAGAACAAGCGAAGAGAACCGAAATTTCTAGACTTTGAAAATCAAAAATTCGATACCGTTTTCAAACATCTCAAAACATACTCGGTATTATGTAGAATTCTTTCAAAATTCAATTCTAGCAAGTACAAGAGTTATTTTTGAACGTGATATAATTTTTTTCTTGGTAAAAGTTATTTCTGAGGCGAGCGGCCCCATGCAAGTTGACCCAATTTGACCTTTCGAAGAGATTTTGTTTAACCAGGAAATGTAAACAATATCGACTAGCCTTAGCTCGCTTTCTGAGCAAACCATTGAAAAACCCTGCCATTTCCCATTGAAACTACCCAGTAAACCTGAGATAATACTTCGATGACAGCTTACCTTCCAAATGGGTGTTTGAAGGCAAATAATGTTGATGTTCTTCGCTAATTTTCCTGTGTCTTGCCGCCGAGTCAGCAACCGGCCTTTTCATACGCGGCTAAAGCATTTTCTAAGTGTCACCTTTCTCTGGCTTGTGCAATATTTTTTGCAGGACCTGGATCCATGTCTTGCATATAAAGCATCCTCTGGGTATCTATTGTGTTTTGTATTGAATATTTCTAATGAAAAGAGGCAAGAAGTGAAGGAACTAATTGAACTGAAAAATAGACCCAGATCGATGTCACGCAATCTTTACATCTTAGTGATCACGTGCCGCAAATACATCCGTGTGGATATTTTTGTCTTGCGCTTGCTCATTTCTTCATTTTCTTCCTTACTAGCATACAATGTTTTCGTTTTGGTTTTTTGTAACTTTTTTATTTGTAATCACAAGCCTATTACGAAGGAGAGTTCTTTGTATGCAATACTTTGAATCGGTGTTTATACACGCAACACATTTACTTTTCCCATTTTCTAGTGACTGTGCAACAAACTAGAAATCCTATCTAGGTACCTCCAAAAGTCAAATGCCCGGGCAGGTCCATGGCTAATGATTTCCTAAAGCTAGATAAGAGGGAATACCGGTAGTAATATATATCTGAAAAAGGGCTAGGTACTGGCCGCGAACCCAGTTTTTGTAATTTGTATTACTTAATTGTATTTACCAATTTGCCCATGGCAGGTGAACACGCAAATAGGTCCTCTTCGTGGGGCATCTAACTTTTTAGGAATTATGTTCAACAAGATACCTTTTGATGCAGAAGTAGACGCACGCTTTTATATGATTCTCGAAAAACTGAAAATGATTTGCTTTTGGGTTCGCACAAGACATCAGTTTCTTTTCGTACGAGCAAAGAGCACGTAAAACTGTTTTGAGAGTTGCTATCGAGAGAGATCCAAGTTTAAAACAGATAATTACCAAACGCAAATAGACCTAACGGTTTGTTTACCTCTAACGAAGTTCTAAATATAGAATTCTCACGGCCCTCGAGCTGTGATCTGTTAAAATCGAACTTTTCGATCGTTCGCCCGATAAGCGAGGCCAGCGCGTGCGAGGCTCCTAACGTTTTCTTAAATTCGGCAAATCTTATTACGCGGACAAACTCCACTGGATTAAAATCTTTACAACTGTACAAAGATATGTGCAGTAAAATGAGTTTGGGTCTTTTGAAGTGTATTATATAACCGTTGAGCGCTCACTTTGTCAAAAAAAGCACTTTGAAATCAAACATTAAGCGGATAAGTAAAGCCCAAAGTTAGCACAAGGGTGGGGTAGGGGGATGGGATGAGGGTCATCATAGGGATACGTTCTTCAGTACCACGCCAAGCCCTAACCTAAGCGTCAGGAGCCGATTAGTAATCGGCTCCTGAAGCGTACGTCAATGGTGGGAGCACTGTCATATAGACTTTCCGGTCAGTATAAAATATGGACTGCGGACTGGGTATAAAATACGGACTAGGTATAAAACGCGGACTAGAAAATACGGCCCGGGTATAAAACACGGACAAGGTATAAAACGAGGACTGCGGACTGGGTATAAAATACGGATTACGGACTACTTTGGTAAAAACCGTGCAAATTGGTTCTAGGTAAGGAAAAATAAGATCAAAAGATCGCTAAATAGCAAGACACGTGAGTTAAAGTTGTAAATACTACTATAACTTCTTGGCGGAGGTGTCCCGCCCGGTTCTCTGAATCATGAGGCGGATCAAAATGCTATTTTCTTCACCCATTTTTAGACCTTGTCTTGGTCTCTAACAATCATGAAAGGGGTCAGGATAAGGGGTGGTACTCCCTTCTATAATGGAAGGGTAGGAGTTTTGGGCCTCTTTGGTCTGAAAACACTTTGCCCATTTTGGTGTGGAATCGGGTATGGTTTTCGAGGGAACTACGGGAGCGTACATGAATGGACGTATTTATCGTTTCAATTCCAAATGAATAAGAACGAAATAGAAATGTGCGAATTCGAAATGAATTTGGAGAATTTTTTTGTTTACGCTCTAACTTGGTAATGATGACAAAATTTCTGCCTAATTAGACCTAACCTGTTAAAGGCTAGGGTCGGCTGAATTGGGTCGGCTGAATTGAGAAAGCGAAAACACGAAAATAAAAAGGCAGAAAACTGGGGAGTCTCCCCAACTATCTGAGAACCTGGAACAGGCTAAATTAGGCCAGGTCCGAAAATGGGTATGGATTTTAGAGATCTAGTCTGAAAACGGGTGTGGAAAATGACAATTTTTTTGGTCTGCAATAAGGTCAGGATTCGGAGAACAGGGCACTACACCCACACCAAGAATTCCCAGTAGTACCCCCCTCCAGGGATCAGAAGCAGGGTGTAAATCATGTCATCATAATCATCGTTTAGAATATAACGTTGGATGACTCATTTCGGTTATTATTCACGCATGTGAGTAATCCCTCGCACCTAAATACTGCTTTTGTGCATCGCATTGACCTTCTCGTCTGAGTTCTTCATTCAGTCCTCATATTCCCAAACCTTTATTTGATACGGAATTGTGGCATCCGATAATAATTTTACTGATCAGACTAACACCAATACTATTTTTTTTAATACGGTGCTTCTTATTGGTTTAAAACTGCAAATTGAAATCTCTTCTAACTCCCTCTTTTTATAAAATTCAGAGTTTAATTTTAGTTGCCTTGAGTCACCGGCATAACCTTCCTTCTCCGTGGGAAGAATAGACTACGTGAACAGCCAAGGGATGTTAAAGCTGGGACTACTGTTTTTGCTAGTCTGCTTTCTATTTCTCTCAGTCTTACCTTCTAAAGCTGTTTTTATATACATAATCCGTAGTCCGCGTTTTATACCTAGTCCGTGTTTTATACTCATTCCGGAGTCCGCATTTTATACCTAGTCCGTATTTTATACCCAGTCCGCAGTCCATGTTTTATACTGACCGATAGACTTTCTTCTTAGAATCCATGTCACTAAGATGCTGCAGGAGATTTAGATAAGTTTGGGCTCTGCAGGAAATTTGTTTTCCGGCCGTTGCGCCCGCGCAATTTTGTTTTCAAAATCTTCCAGTCCCCTCCCCCCCCCTTAATAAAAAATGGAATGGGCCATCCTTTACCCCAAATACATTTTGTTTTCACTCACTAAATTCAAAGTTAGCACAAGGGTCGGGTAGGGGACTAGGGGGGAGTGAATAGGGTGTGGTTACGAACTCTTAACTGTTTTCCACTATCCACTGAGCTGAGCAATAGCTGAGTGCGCTAAGGAGAAAAAAAGGAAGTTGTCCCGTGTTAACTTGATAGAAAAACGTATTTTGAGCGAAAGCAATTGAGTGAATTACTGTATTAGATATATGGAACAAAAGACATGAAAAAGTCTTGTGTATGTTTATATCATGATGGAAAATCTTAACTAAATTTTTGAAGTGGCCATGTAATAAACCGTTAAATGCATTGCGTGCAACAGCAACAAGAAACAGAAATTGTTTGCATAGGAAAACTTCTTTCCTCCACCCAGGCAGAAAACATATTAATCACCCGGTCCGGAAGTGACAAAGGAAAGATTGCGTTACACTCACTAGACCGAGATTTACGTCTTGCGCTTTAATAGGAATTTTTTTTATTATACAAGAAACTAAATGAATATCAAGATGTTGCTCACTGAGAGGTAGATATTGCAACATATGGATTGATTTTCCGGAAAAGTGTTGCACAAGCAGCTACAAGCTTAGCCCGGAACCGGTGTACAAGCTCGATGTCAAGATATGACCCTAAATTATAAAGCGCGGCAACAAGAAAGCAATGGAAAAATTAACTGAGAACGTCAAAATTATTTGCCTTCAAACACCCATTTGGAAGGTAAGCTGTCATCGAAGTATTATCTCAGGTTTACTGGGTAGTTTCAATGGGAAATGGCTGGGTTTTTCAATGGTTTGCTCAGAAAGCGAGCTAAGGCTAGTCGATATTGTTTACATTTCCTGGTTAAACAAAATCTCTTCGAAAGGTCAAATTGGGTTAACTTGCATGGGGCCGCTCGCCTCAGAAATAACTTTTGCCAAGAAAAAAATTATATCACGTTCAAAAATAAGTCTTGTACTTGCTAGAATTGAGTTTTGAAAGAATTCTACATAATACCGAGTACGTTTTGAGATGTTTGAAAACGGTATGGAATTTTTGATTTTCAAAGTCTAGAAATTTCGGTTCTCTTCGCTTGGTCTCCAGGAATTCGGAATTAGAATTGTAAGTCTAAAATATCATCAAAGCAGCTTAGCAATACCTCCTAACTAAAATTATAAACTAAGGAAAACCATTATTTGCTATGCGCCTTCACGCGAGTTCGAATATCTGATCATGATATTTGACCTTATTTCCGTGATTTTTCGGCTTCACGGGTTGTCGACGGTTTTTCGTAATTTTCTCAAAAATGTAAAAACTCTAGAACCTAAAACTTACATCACGATTCTTAGCATATCATAGGTTATCTCTGGACGAAATATCAAGGGGTCCATTTTTCTAACCTTGTGCCGCCCCTCACGCGGTGATTAGGGAGAGTGGCTCTTAACATTTGATATGCTACTGTATTCAACACTGCTTGAACAAAGATCATCTTCAATGTTGGCAATATGTAGACCTTTAAGCTCATATTTATCCTCATTCCTGCATGTATATAGACTGAAAATATTGTATTAATTTATGCATGGAAGGTATTTCCAACAATACACATGTACCTTGACTATGACTGTTAACAGTACACATCTCTAGCATGAGAATCAACAGCAATAATTCCAACAGTTAAAATGAATGAGATGTAGTTCAGAGTCACCCCTCAATTCTGACATCACCATGCAAGTTACAAGTATAACTTTCACTGTATTCAAGCTGGAAAAATCGCTCAACACTGTGAACATTTCTGGCAATTCTGTTAACATTAACATTAACATAGATTGTCTTGCAAGCAATGGCAGACTAGAGTATAATTTGCTACCAACAGTCATTATTTGAATCATATCATTGACTGAAGTAATCCTTCTTATCTTACTGTAAATTAAAGCGCACAAACTCATTGCAACGCATTGTTGTTCCGCATTTTCCCCAAATACTACAACGTTTCCGTGACAGTATGCAGCATGAATCGTTTTTGTAGCATCTACGCCACATGAAGGTCCTGGATTCTTCTCGATATCAGTAGAAAGCTTAAATTGGCCAAAATTAACCCGGAGAATCAAACTCTTGTAAGCACTATAAAATGGATAGTTATATGTACAGAGGGACAAAGACTTACTTAAAACCGTATTTTGATACCTCGACACCCCGCCTAAATAGCCTCTTCTTTTACGCTTAGACGACAGATATACCTTCCCTTGTTTTTGAACTTGCTCTCAGTAAAAAATCGAAAAAACGTACCTCACGCTCTTACAAGCCCTTACAATTACTCCTGTTCCGGTGTAAGTATAAAACATTTCTATTTTTAACGTAACAATGAATTTTAGACGACAATGGTGTATTTTTCAGAATTCTCACTTTCCGTGTTTTGTTTGACAAAGATTTTCAATTTCTTCATCGGTAGTCTGCTAGGTGCACGACCGCGTCGAGAGAAATGACTAACCTTATTTAATACAACTGGATTGTAAGTTCTGTTATCAGTAAATTTTCCCACGACGAGATCTCAATTTAACTTCTTTGATTTCCTCCACAAGACAATTTTCCTTCTGTACAATTGACTCATTACCTGTTCTTGTCGTCACCTCACTGACATCAAAACTCACTCTTAACACAAAACTTGCTGACAATGCAAAATCCCGACGCCGAGCATCGTACATGTACCGCATAACAATATACACAATTACATGAAAAACACAACGCGCAAAACAAAAAAAGTACATTAACAGTCACTCTGCTAAACAAAATTGAAAGAATAGGAAGAATTGTTACCGTTATCACAGTAATTCCCAATTAAACCTGAGTCCCTTTTGGTTTCAATTGTTGACAATCTTCTCTTCCTTCATCGGAAAAGATTTTTATCACAGGCAACTCCTTGGGTTCCGCATTGTGAAAATCAAAATCACTTTTGTCACACTGATTACCAGCTACACAAATCTTGCGACTCTCAAACTTGATACACATTCTTCTGTTCAAACTCTTATGGATTTTACACGTACACTCTTGACATTCCGATTTGTTATTGCGTCTATGAGGTCCATGGTCTTTAAAAGTCTTGACAATTTCCTTTGTTTTTCTTTGAGTTCGCGGACCAGCCATTATGAAAACACTTAGTGTTATTTCAGTGTGGGCCTACCGCGAACAGTGTGTGCATTTGTAAGTTTAACCCTCGACAACATACTTCAACAATACGTTCCTCGAAACACCGTCGCCAAATGACCAAAGTCATTAGACCTGACTACCACCCCTGAAGCGCGACGAATTCTGCTTGTTGTTTCACATTTCAACCTGTCATTTTTGGCCACTGAAACGTTGTCCGTTACTCTCTGTCTTGAAATTGACAACGTTTTTGGCGCCGTACGAACATGTTTTGATCACGTGCTGTCTAAGTTTTCACGTTTTTCGTGGGAGCGTATCCTATTTTTAAACTCTGCCTGTGTCAATATGGTGATGCAAATTCAAGTTCAAATCGGAGATACTAGAAGAGTGTTTTTTTTTATGAAACCGCCAGGGAGTGTTGAGGATTTAAAAAAACTACAGTTTGCCTGAAATTCAGAAGACAGGTTTTATGGATTTTGGTTTTCTTTACGAACGCAGGAGAATATGTAGTGTTGAATGACGTTCGCATTGCAGACATTCGCCTCGCTTCGCTTGTTTACTTGTTTGTTCACGTTAGCACGAATTGCGTGCCTATTGCACATTTGCCTCAAAACAAGCCGTTTCCATTACTCTATTTGGGCCACGCCCAAATAAAAATTAAGTCTTGGCCCGGGTCAAAGTTCGCCTGCAATTTGGCTCGCACCTAATTCATTTCACTCCTAAGAGCCTGTTCCCGAGGCCAAAGACTTAGTGGTCACCTTAGAAAAGCCGACAATATCGCACCTTTCTGTCTCAGCCCGGATCAGGGTGATTGATGCGTTTAGCCAAATGAAACGAAAATATGATACGATATTGGACGATGCAGACTCTGCGAATCGTAATAACTTTGTCCCGTCTCAGAGCTTTACATGATGCTCTCCGGGAAACTTTTCTTAAGGTGACCATTATCTAAAAGTAAGCTGCCCAACGGCACCGAAACCAGATTTAGGCGAGCACTGATTTCAAATAACTGTCACTTGTATCAAAGAGAGAATTGTGGCTAGGGAGAAAAAAATAGGAGGTGGGGAGGGGGGGTTTAGGTGGTAATTCTGTCCACATCCACTTCTACACAAATCCCTAACCACAAACCAAGCAAAAACAAACGACATAAGCAAACAACAGAGGAAACAAGCTATTAGACAGGGGAAGTTGAGAAAAATTACAAAATGTTTGCTAACCCGGTATTCATAACTCCAGGTAGATCTACATATCCGATTATCTTAGATCGGAAATTTTCCTATGTAAAAAAAAACTTAATTGAAAACTGCAAGAAAAACTATAAATAAACCTGTAGTGAACAGAAAATCGCCAACGTTTCATTTGTGAACGAGTGTCACAAAATAGATACCAGCCCGGATGAGAAAAACTGAACACATAAGATCGAGGCAAAATGTGCCAGGCCGGTCCAAGATGGCGTCCAAACCATGAAATAGTATGGCATACAGAACGGTTACTACTTCATGTCCGTACACAACTAGTAAGCGTCCTCCTTCGTCGAACGCAATTAAAGATAATAGACACTTTTCTAAATAAATTAGTTTACAAATGTTCAAAGTGGTACTGACAAGGAAGCCTATATAGAAGCCGGGGGCTTAAACATTATAGTTTAAGGAAATATTTTTGAAAAGCTTTGGCAATTTTATAGTTAGAAGAATGTCAGACCACAATGAGATAACATTTGCCATAAGATATCTTTCCATGTTTCTTGTGGGGTAATGTCGTCATCAGTCACGTGACTATTGCCGAATTAGGTTCTTCCGGCATTTAAAAGGGCTATGTCAGCCGGACAACATGCGCGCTAAGGTTATGCAAATAGTTCAATCGTCAAATTTTTATTACTTTTAACACGTGGCTTTCTTTGTCGTGTACAGAGCGCCGAATTTTACAGCGACGAGTTACAAGCGAATTGGGTTTGGTTAAAGGAGCTGTGTCACGAAATTCAGCCAAATTAGGTAATTACAAAATGCCCGTTAAATTAAAAGAAACGTAAAAATAACCGCTTAAAACATTAAAGGAAGGTTAAAGTAACACAACAGATACAACAGATGCCACGGATGGCCAAAACTGAAGAAGATTGAAACGGATTGAAATTAGGGTTTTTGAAAACTGTTCAGCCAAACAGTTTTTCAAAGTTGGTCTCCGCTGTTTGCAACTTCGAAAATAATGCTCAAGAGAGATTTGTTTGTCTCGAATCTCTAAGTTTGTCGTTTCCATGTTATTTCCTTGCTTACTTTAAGTTCAGTAATTGGCAAAATTAAACAAAATGAACTGGACTGCCGTGACACAGCCCCTTTAAGGGATACTTTGATAGAATTTACGGAACGTTTATTCTCTGGTTATGCTGGATCTCGTCGTCAATAATCAAAGTGTAAGTACAATTTTACCCGTTGTTTTGAATTAAAAACGCATGCCATTCATAAAAAAAGAGCGATAACAAAATTTCAGCAACAAGATATTGTCGTAGTCAACATAATAAATCAAAGTTTTATTTTATCAGCAAAGACTGTTTCAAATCATCAACAATTAGACTTGTCTTTCGCTACTTATTTTACTATAAAACTTATATGCTGGCGGAACAAAAAGCGACACTGTTTTTTATGTCTTTGTTTTGATCTTCTGGACACACACATTGATCGTGCAAAATTGTTCGTTGATTTCAAATCACTGCGACGTTGAGAACAACAGAACCAAGAATCAGTAGACTAGTCCGATTCCGGCTAAGCTGTCGGCGAATAACGAGGGAAAGTAAACTCTGCTAGTTTCCAAACAACCTAGCAAATATACTCGAACACAAACAGTTCAAAGACATGGCATTCGCAGGATCTAAATGGTGCCTCTCTGAGTCCGTTAAGAACAAGCTGGACGAGCAAGCGGTTGTATTTATCCTTGCCGCCGATCAAGATAAATACAAGAAGAAATCTACCCCAATTTTATAACGTTTCCTTCGCCAAAATTTAAGCTTCGTCTCGAAACTCATGGCCATGCTGTTGGAATCGTTTATCAAAAACAGCCGCCGCCAACTCGATAGCTGCCTCATTTTTGAGCACAAAAATATCCACGAGCCAGCAGCCTCTAAAATAAGTCAACAGAAAGCTAAGGTTCTGTGAACTATGAGGAAAGATTCCAACGGCCGCTGATAAGAGGATGCTGTAAATCTACGTGAACAAATTCCAGGGGCAAACAATTTCAAAAATAACGCAAAAATGTCTTCTGTAATCACCATAGAACGATTGTCAATACAAACTGCCCTAACTATCAAACGATGGCTGAAGTTTAAACAGATATAAAAAATAGCCTTCCAAAATCTCTGACAAAACTTGAAACTTTTGGGCCATCTTTTGCAAGTTGTTTTCCACCAGCTCGCGCATGTGCGTGGTCTGATATAGCCCCTTTAGAATTTAAAGGGGCAATGAACATGAGCGGAAACGTTGGGGGCTGTAGAGAGTCGACGTTTCATCAAACGACAGTCAAAATTTGTAGGAAAGTAATGTTCTACATGATTTTTTTTAAAGAGCAAAAGAGGGACATGACATCATCAGTAACATGACCAGAGCGTTTTGAATATTTGAGTACGTTTTTAAAGTACATTTTTCGTGTTGTTGTTTTGTCTACAAATATCTACACTGTATTGCCTCTGAGTAATTATACCTCCATTTTCAAAGCAAAAGCAAACGAAGACTGAGCCAGAAGTTTAAAGTTGCGTAAATTTATCCACCGAGGTTTAATCGTATTACACCCGTCTTATTTTCTTTGCATTGGCTACCCGTTGCCTACCGTATCGAGTTTAAAATCTTAGTTTTAACGTTTAAAGCAATATACCAACTTGCGCCGTCCTATAACCGCAATCTAGTTCGATTAAAGGAGAAATTTAAATACCAGCTTCGATCTTCTGAAGAAATACTATTGCAGTTGCCCATGGGAAAAACAAAGAAAACTCTGGGTGACAGATCATTCCAAATAGCTGCCCCTACACTGTGGAACAGTCTGCCTGCAAATGTCAGAGACATCGATAACTTTTTGGTTTTTAAACGAACAATAAAGACTTACTTATTTAGGAAGGCTTTTGCCTGTTATAGTTAGATTGATAAATTTTAGACTATAAATTTTAGGTATTCTTAAGTTTACTTTATTGTAATTATTACAGGTAGTTATAGTTGTAAGGCGCATTTCATCATATTCAGATGTTAATTTCCACCTAATGATTAAGAAATAAATTATTATTATTATTGCAAGTTTAAATCGAAAAGGAGACTTACTGTTGAGAGCTTTGTATAATTCTTTTTCAACTAAACTGTTTTTTCGCCGAAATAAAAGTTCAATGTTTGTTAATAAAGGATAACTTTAGCACATAGTTGCATAAGTTGCACTGTTGACTGTTCAACTACTGCTAAAAATATTGGGGTTATTTCTAATAACTCTCTATCGATGTTGCCGCACGTTACTGCTGTTTGCAAGTCTTTGTTTTTTTCATTTACGCAAGATTCGCAAGTTTCTTTCTTATGATGTATGTAAAACTCTAATTCATGCCTTTTTTACTGCAAGGATCGACTATTGTAACTCATTGCTCCACAGTCAGCCTCAATGTAGTTTGAAACGTTTACAGAGTGTCCTAAATAGTGCTGCTAGGCTTATTCACCTTACTAGTAGATATGAACATGTCACGCCGTTGCTTATTCAACTTCATTGGCTACCAATTGAACAAAGGACAACGTTCAAAATTGCAGTAATTATATTTAAGGCACTTCATGGTGCTGCACCTAGCTATATCACTGATCTCATGAAGTCTTATACACCTGGGCCCAGTTGCTCGAAGCATGGTTAGCGTTAACCAGCGTTTAAGAGCCATTTTCTGAGAAAATCGAGAATCGCAAGACACTCGTCAAAAAATCGAATTTTTTATTATTTTGCCAAAACATCCCTTTTAGTGACCTAATTTAAGGAAAAATAGTTTTGGGTTCAAACGATTCATTTTAAAGGAGAAATTAAAAAAAGTTTGAAAAATCGATTTTATTCCTGTTTTTCGAACAAAACACGGCAGGATGCAATGGCAACTTTGAGAGAAGGGTGAACGCGTAAGAAACATTCCCTGACACTGAAACTTCACCGAATTATTATTTTGTTCTTACTCTTGAAAACCTTAAAAGAAAATTTGAAAAACAATGTCTTATATTTTTATAATCGACAAGTGTAAAGAGGTCATATTTGTGACGTTAGACGTGCTAGAAAATGAAGGCCAACTTTGACTATTAAAAAAGGCCTCTGGTATATGCCGCTTGATCATAAAATCAATATAAAATGGAACCTTGGCTTTTGTACTAACTTACTGGAAAGTTTTAGCTCTGGAAATCAAATACCATCCTGACACCAAAGCAAGCGGTGAGAGCAATTGAATTGGGAAATTTATGCAAATTAGACGGCTTGCGGACGGTTGTCAAACTAAAAGAAAGGTTTTACATGAAAGGATTACTCACCAATGCTTGTAACACGTTTTTACGGAAAGGAAAGTTATTTCCAACTTCTGTTGCGTCGGTTTGAGTCACAAAATCCATAATTTTAAGCCAAAAGGTCCAAAAGACAAACGTACGTTTGCTCAACGACAGCGCCAGAATCCGGCCGTGAATCGAAATGAAGTCACAACACGTCACTGCGGTCCTTTAGAAGCAAGAGTTGCAAGAGTTTTTACTTCAATCATGAGGAGGCCAAAAGATTGAAAATTCATCGCAAACTAATGACTTCGATTTTGAAAACCTTTCATCACTTCGATCGTTTGCCGGCTGATAATAAACATCGCACAAGATCGTATGACCTTTGGCGTGTGACCGGAAATCGGTCACACGCTTAAGTCACGTTAGCATACTGTCACGAATTTTAATACGATTTTTCACGTTTGCTTTCGACAAAAAATAGACTCATCGCAATAAAATCAGGCCTGCTTTATTTATTTATTTTTTAATTTCTTCTATAGCCTGCAGAACTTGTTCCCCATGCATCGCGCGTGTCTTGCGCCCCCAGTCCGCTTCGCAGTGCTAGCGTGAAAAGCGCAAAAAACTGAAATTGACTCCTGTTCTGCAATTGATTTCTTTTATAGACACCTTCTAGGCATTGACAGGCTGTGAAAAAAGTGTATTTTTTATTATTATTATTTTTTGAAGTGCTACGTCCTTTTCCTATAAATTTCAAACGTGACTGCTAAAAGACTGCTGGGAACCCATGGATGGAGAAAAGCTGTTCCGGAGAGAAGGTCAACCTTCCTGCCGAGCCAACTTTTGCGAGCGTTTATATGAGGAAAAAACTGACCACTTTGTCCGAGTCAACAGTGCATGCGCATGCTGTCTTTGTCTAGCCTTGACCGTGTTGTCCCAGCTAGCTGGGCGAGCCAAAGTGGAGAAATATTAGCCGGGCTAGAAGGGTGAGGCCACCACTACCGGCTCAGTGGAGGGCTGACTTCCGGAAGCCCTCAACCCCGCCCACTACTGGTAGTAAGGCGTCTATCCGAACCAACCTTTTGTTTCTCATGTAAATGGCTTAGCAAGTTTTGTAAGGAAATGGGGGAAAAGTTGGCTCGCCCAGGGTAGCTTGGGAGGTGAGTAAACACCAGATAACCCCAATAATAAGCACAAACTTTGATTGTCAGTTACATGTCTACTATTTCAAGTAAGTCACCTTGCATGTGATTGTCGCATCCGTGCCCCCTTCCAGATCCCCTTTATTATCGGTAAGCCTCTGATAGGTCAAAGTAATACAGTCGTAACTCCAGTAAGCGACCACCAAAAATGCAAAGACTTAGTGGTCCCTAACGGGAGGTGGTCGTTTAGAAGAATCGGACCACATGGGGTCTATTCCGAGAAGAGGTCCAGGCACATTCTATTAAATGGCGGTGTAACAAATTCCTGGCAAAATATTATCTTTTACCTCTTTTGACAAATACAGCTTTTAAATCATGCTCAATTTAAAGAGAGATTCAGGTGAGTGAGATATAGAATAGTATAGAATCACAACAGTATCTTCACTTTGTTGGCTACATCTACTAAGTTAGGATATGTGTAGTTCCACGATGTCACTAAAGGTCTTCATATTTTCTAAGGAACATAGTGCACACAGCAAAAATAGAGAGCAGAGAATGCGTCAGCTGGTCGCTCATGGAAAACAATTAACTGTGACGCCCAAAAAGTGGTCGCAGTCACTTACAGAAGGTGGTCGTTTACTGGAGGTTCCAACTGTAAGGCTTTGACTGGGAAAATTTGGTCTTTTGGATTGGCGGTCGCACATGGAGGTTCCACTGTGTTAGGTCTATTAGAGTATAAGCCACCATCACCTCACTGTGAGTGACGAGAGCCAGGAAAGTATAGTATACACTCCCTTAGGATACACAGAATCGTTGTTTTGAGGTCCCGTTTAGCGAAATGGATCATTCAAGGGAGGTGCTGAAGTCCCATAGTGAAATTTATAAGGTTTATGGGTTTTTAGTGCAAGACGAAACACAATACTTAGGGCCCTGTTGTTCAAACGTTGAACAACAGGAAATGACTATCAAGCGAATAAGAAGAAGCAATTGCGTTACTTATTGGATATAGATTTATCCAGGGGAAAGCGTTAGTCCCGGGGGCGTTAGTCAACTTTTCGAACATACAGCCCCTCAGTCACTCTCCTCCGCAGACTTACCCTGGGCGGCCAGGATAGGGGAATATAATACTCGACCTTCCTTGCATCATCGCGAGAGCCTATAGCCTTCACTTTCTTTTGGCTCGTCCTACAAACCTACCCAACGTTCGTGGGACAGGAAGGTCTGCCTGCGAGGCTTGGGACTATGGTAGCATGGTGCAAATAGCCGGGATGAGCTACTTTGTCCACACGAACCGAGAGGATTGGGTCTGCTAGAAGAAATCAGGTGTAGCTTTCTGTGATAAGTAATATTCCAACAGTATAGGATCATAGTTTGAAGCCATTTCACAATCACTAGTTTCCGCGCACCTCTACCGGCGAGTTGTGGACAAAAGCAGCTGATAGCTGTATGCGAACCTTTTTTCCACAAAATGGTTTCTGGGTTTTCGTATTCGACAGTGTCATGTATTGATTTTTTTTAATCTTAGTCGAGGTCTTTTTAATTATGTACTGTCTATCTGACTGACTGTTTCTTTGTGTTTTTTTTTTTCTGGTAATGACAGGTTTCATAATTTGGTCCTGATTGGGGTTATAGGCCCCTGATCGTGAGCAAATAGGGAAAAAATCAACAAGCAAAACCAAAGTGAACTATAGCGTTGAGTCCGTTGGCCACGGAGAATTGGTATTATTCTGCAAGTTCTTTACTACAGCAAGAGAGTATACTCCCTTGACTATGGGACATTGGGCCGGGGGAACTTAGTATTTTGACCCGGCATAGGGGAGGAGGGGAGGGGGAGGGGGAGGGGGTACTCTGGCCAGATTCCAAGTCACGGGGATGATCGAAGTATGTTTTTTTCTTGGTTTGAAAATATTTTGAACAAATTTTTTTTTTTAGCTGTGGCTTTACTTAAGTATTCAAAATATTCGTTCTTTTTTGGTCTTAATTTTCGCTTCCACGGATCACTCACGACACTTGGAATCCGAGGTACCCCTCCTGTTTAGTACTTCGAAGGCAAAAAAGCTGTTTCAAAGCCTAGTAGGTAAATAAAAGAAAAATAAATATGCATGGATGTTTCTACTGCGATGAGAGGATTTCTTGTCAAAAAATGTGAAAACTGTATTAAAATTGCTGACAACAGCTACGAAAATTTCGTGACAGCATGCTGACGTGACTAAAGCGTGTGACCAATTTCCGGTCACACCAAAGGTCATACGATCTTATGCGATGTTTATTATCAGCCGACGAACAATTGAAGTGATGAAAGGTTTTCAAAATCGAAGTCATCAGTTTGCGATGAATTTTTATTCCTTTTGCCTCCTGACTGAAGTAAAAAGTCTTGTAACTCTTGCTTCGACGTGTTGTGACTTTATTTCGATTCACCGCCGGATTCGGACGCAGTTGCTGAGCAAACGTACGTTTGTCTTTTGGCTAAAAATTATATATTTTGTGACTCAAAACGACGCAACAGAAGTTGGAAATAACTTTCCTTGCCGTAAAAACGTGTTACAAGCAATGGTGAGTAATCCTTTCATGTAAAACCTTTCTTTTAGTTTGACAACCGTCCGCAAGCCGTCTAATTTGCATAAATTTCCCAATTCAATTGCTCTCACCGCTTGCTTTGGTGTCAGGATGATATTTGATTTCCAGAGCTAACACTTTCCAGTAAGTTAGTACAAAAGCCAAGGTTCCATTTTATATTGATTTTATGATCAAGCGGCATATACCAGAGGCCTTTTTTAATAGTCAAAGTTGGCCTTCATTTTCTAGCACGTCTAACGTCACAAATATGACCTCTTTACACTTGTCGATTATAAAAATGTAACGCATTGTTTATCAAATTTTCTTTTAGGATTTTCAAGAGTAAGAACAAAATAATAATTCGGTGAAGTTTCAATGTCAGGGAATGTTTCTTACGCGTTCACCCTTCTCTCGAAGTTGCCATTGCATCCTGCCGTGTTTTGTGCGAAAAACGAGCATAAAATCGATTTTTCAAACTTTTCCTAATTTCTCCTTTAAAATGAATCGTTTGAACCCAAAACTATTTTTCCTGAAATAAGGTCACTAAAAGGGATGTTTTGGCAAAATAAAAAAAAATTCGATTTTTTGACGAGTGTCGTGCGATTCTCGATTTTCTCAGATAATGGCTCTTAATACCTTGACAACGTATTGGTTTTGATACTGCTTAACCAATGGTTAAAGCTAACCATGCTTTGAGCAACTCAGCCCTGGTAGACTTATTAGATCCTCTAATCAATTTTTACTTTCTACATCTAAATTTAATCTTAAAACTTATGGTGGCCGGTCTTTTACTATTGCTGCACCTTCTGTCTGGAATGCACTTCCATTCGAACTTAGTCCCTTTCTTCTTTTACATCTAAGCTTAAGACTTGGCTTTTGAAAATGTGTTATGATGTTGTCGTACAGAATGATGATGTTTTTATAGGATGACAATGTAGTTTTGTAGTTTTGTAGGTTCAGGATTTTGTTGTTATTTTTATTATGTAAAGCGCTTTTGGACCATTGAGAATTAGCGCTCTATAAATATTGTAATTTATTATTATTATTATTATTATTATTATTATTATTAATATAAGTTGGTTCTTACATTGGAGTAACTTATTCTGCTTGCATAGAAAACTTGATATGAACATTGCATCTTAGGCCCGGTTCAGACGCCGAACTTTCACGAGCCGAACCTAACACATTAAACTAAGTACATGAAAAATTCGGGGGTCTGAATGATCAATTAGGAACGCCTGTTTCAATTTGGAACGGCTCACCCGTTCTTTTCGCCTAGCTTGGAAGGGAATTTCGGCTTCGGAGCGACTTTAGAGAACGGCTTTGATTCAGACGCCGACCTTTTTATGTATTGAACCTATGCATAAATTATTATAACTGTTTTTGCAAGCAGTTTGACCGAAACGAGCATTTTTCGCCTCTTGAACTTAGTTCAGCCGCACTTAAGATCGGCGTCTGAATCAATTCAGCCGGTCTTGGGTCGGCCTTAATTCGAATTAGGTTCGGCTCATGAAACGTTCGGCGTCTGAACCGGGCCTTAGTCCACAGCTGTTGAAATACACAGAACGAGCCACAGGACGTAGAAAAAATCGCCTTGAGAACGTCAGCTGGCACAAACAACATTTGCTAAACCTCACAAAATGGCTGTTTTAATATGTTTTGCTTGAAAGAGTCTGCTTGATATTTTTTAGCCGATTTTTTAAAGTTTTACGTAATTTTGAACCAAACCTAACGGACTTTGGTTTCGTTAGTGCTAATTAATGCTAATTAATGTCACAGGTCCTGCTATGGCACGCCGAGGTGACCGCATTCGCTGCACAGTTTTATTTGAGGAAGAGCCAGATGAAGACGGCAAAATTCCAGTTTTCTTTACACTAAATGGCCGTAAGATAGTTTTGCAAAGTGGAGAGAGCCGTTTTCTTATGGATTTTAAAAAGCCGTTGTTTCCTTTCATTGGCATGACTAAAGGTAGCAGTGTGTTGACCAAGGTAAGGACTTCACGTACACCAACTCCCGAGGCGGGGGGGTACTCCCATACATTACGTATACGGGTATGTGCCTCCCAACAGGGTCGTGGTTTTGAAGCTCCTGATTTAGAACGGGGTATCCATGTCGGAGGCGCTTTCTAGAACGGGGTATGATATTTCGAAAGCGCGAAAAAATACGGTTCAATGCGTTAGTAATGGTAACAGGACTGAGTGGAGTCCAATTCGGTCTGTAATCATATGAGTGATTAACAAAATCGGACGACCGCGTAGCGGGAGTCCGATTTGTTTAATCACGAGTATGATTACAGACCGAATTGGACGATACGAAGTTCTGTCACCAATTAATCATAACTTTGACAAAATTTGTGATATAATAGGCTATTTTTTAAATCAAAACACAAGAAATTCGAAATTTTGTTTTGCTAGCAGTGAAAAAAAAAAGGCCATTTCAGCGCGCGCGTGATGGCGCATACTGTCCAATTACTTAGGCATGACGCGTACTGTCCTATTAAACTGTCCAATTAAGGCTGAAATCAGGGCAGTTGATAGCCAATCAGATTTGACAATTTTGTTATAGTTATGATTAACACGCAAATTGTTGTACTCTTGTTGCACCCTGTGTTTTAGCGCGCAGGGCAGGCGTATTTTGGCGCGAGCCGCGAGCGCTGACTTCGCCATCTTGGATAAATAGGCGCGCGGGCGTCTGGAACGAGTCCATAATGTACCCGAGTGAGATGGAGACGGGCTCAAAAGAAAGGGACGGGGGAGGAGAAGGAAAATCGTTGTTGTCGTATCCGGGAGAGTTGGCATGTATGATAATCACACTTGACAACTAATTATTTTTTTTAGTAAGGTGCAGACATAATCACTTACACTGAAATAGAAAGTAAATGTAGCAATGTCATTAAGGATGCAGTTGAGGAGAATTGTGATATGATGATTACTAAAAGGCGGTACCCTCATTAACACTAAATTATCCCTGTAAAGAGTATACCAAATCATTTATGAAAGTGTTCGCATTTATTTGTGTACATGCATGACAAACAAATACCCATGCAAGAGTGAATTTGTATGAAATGTTCACATACAAGTCATGTTGAAGTTGATCAGTTTCGCAATTAATTTTCAACATGCATGAGTTTGTTGAGACATGGTTGCCGGAGGAATAGTTTTTGAAATTCCCAGACTAACAGTCAAATGTACACTTTCCCTTACCAAATGAATTGCAAATTGGTCCAGATATTAATAGCTTCCAAATTCCACTCAAAACTTCGTGAACAGGACACAGATCATGTAAAGCAAAAGACTTCTTTGTTTTCTGTTCACGGAAAATCTGCTTGGAATTATTTCAAGGCTTTTGTTCTTTTGTTTTAGGTCATCTGTGTCCGGTACACAAAATATGCCCGAACTCCCATCACAACCATCCTCGCCACCCATTTATTACATGAATTTATCGTGAATGTAGAGCACAGAATGGATTGATCTTATAGGAAATCCTATGTCTGCTTGTCGTTTAATTTCTAGAAACAATATCCTGCTGATGCAATATGTTTAACTTCGGTGAATATGCAGAAATATGTCACCTCCCTCTGACTTCTTTGAAAGAGTCCAATTTTCCCTGACTTATACTGGAATTCCCTGACTTGATAAATTACGGGTAAAAGAATTAATTTTCCTGGCATTGCAGATGTCACACACTAAAATTGTGAGGAGATCCGAAATACAGATGTTCTTTCCGAATAAATAGGTTCTAAAATACGAGACAAGCAATAATAAATTTTTGCTATGCTTGACTTAAAAGACACAGCTCTGTTTATGTATAAGGCTGCTAAACATAGGGATGTTACGAAAACTAAGACCCTCGAAAACTAAGACCTAAGACCTAAGACCCGTCTTAGTTTTCGAGATTACGAAAACTAAGACCCCCTAAAATCGAATCCGTCGAAATATAAAGTCAAATGGTAACCGAAATAGGTCTAATCTGTCAAATTATCTTCTGTCCGATCCTTTCCACTGAGTTTTTGGTCAAATTAAACGGTAAATTCAGGAGTCTTAGTTTTCGTAATTTGGAAAACTAAGACCCCTCTTAGTCTTCGTTATTACGAAAACTAAGACCCGCCAAAAAATCAATCCGTAAAATATATGTGAAGTCGAATTACGACCATTCAAAGACTATAACGCGTAAAACAACCAAAAACTATCATCACTACCCGCTTCTTCTCAAAATTGCAGACATATCAGTATTGAGGCTTTAAAAACAGGATGAAAGCCATAGACTACCTGTGTATAATTGTACACTGAAAATATGCCTTACTCTGGTGATTGGTCTATAATTTTGGTTGTTTACCTTCAAAAATCGTAAAATTAGTTTTTCATCCAGAGATGGATCTTTGTCTTCGTTTCCGGCTGACATCTCGCTGCGACCCTGATGGTGTTACTCCGATCGTCAGGTGCATGGTCATTACGCCGTTATCGGTCAAACATCACACAAAAATACGGATTTTTACCTTTTCTGGCCGTGTAGCCAGAAAAATGCTTTCTTACAAAGGGCGAAAAAAAAAAAGAGTATATGCTACATTGCATTTTTCAAGAGTTATTTTAATCGTTGCCATCCCGGAGATGGCACCGGAAACGAGAAAATAGTGATATGTCTGCAAATTACGGTAAAAGTCCGATAATAACGGGTCCCCCGAAAATAACGGCTACGCGATAGTAACGTTAATTTTTTACCTTGCTATTAAACCCCGAAAGTAACGCACCCACCCCCCCGCCCCCGATGATAGCAGCCCCTGAAAAAAGGACCACTCAAAACAATATGCACAAATTTTTGTACCGTTAATGTAACATTTCAAGAGGTGCGGTATGTGGTTACAAATACAAGTAGGTAGTGGGTTGAATAATATTTTCCTATTTGATTTACAACAAATGCCACACAATATTTTCCTATTTTAGTTGTGTACCGTATTTTCATAAACATAGGATACTGGTAACATAGTAACTGAAACGCGTAAAAACAGATAAAAGCTGTATGTGTCATCACAGTTGTCATATAATACGAACAATATTTTCGGCGTTTAGTATACGAACATCCGAGCCTTTTTTGTTACAGTTTACTTTGTTTACATGGATAATGAATACCGTAACCAGCATGCAACCTGAATGACCTCTTTATGCCTGTTATGCGTCCTCTTTGTGTAAAACCACTGCTCAGTGAATTACAAACGTTTTCTAACCATCCCAAAGTAAGGGCTACCCGAAAGTAACGGCCCCTTTGGCCTACTAAATCCGAAAATAACGGGGGCCGTTATCGGAATTCTACGGTATTAGAAGAAGCGGAAGGTCAGCTACCCTGGCTAAATCAAAATTTAAATAACCAAAATTATAGACCAATCGGCAGGGTAAGGCATATTTTCAGAGTACAATTATACACAAGTAGTCTATGGCTTTCATCCTCTTTGTAAAGCCTCAATACTGACATGGCTGCAAATTACATGTATTAGAAGAAGCGGATCCTCAGCACGCGGATGATAGGAAGAAATAAGCGTTGACAGGCCAAACACGACTCATAAGCTCGTGATAATGTGAGACGTGACCTTGAGAGTCTGGTTGAATAGTGGTTCTCTTTCTTTTTCTCTCTCGCGCGAAGGTTACTAGCACTACACAGTGCATGACTTGTTGCATTCTAAACGTTGACTGAGTAAATCTTGTTTTTGCCGCACTAAGTCTTATATTTAGGGGTCATGAACAGGAGGGCATTTTGTTTGCGCATGCGTCAATATGGGCTGTTGAAGTGCCATAGAGGCATTTTCTGTGAGTTGTTTACGTTCAGTACCAGCATTTGCAGGCTGTTTTCTGGAGCTGAATGACGTGTATTGGGTGCTACGTTCCTCAGACGTGTTCTTTAAGGTATCGTGGTATTTTTTACGATGAAAGTGAGTTTATTGTAGCCTCGCTGTCGCCCTTGAGAGGACAGTCTTTCCTTTCGTAAAACAGTACATCGAAGACAAGATGGCGGCTGAATGTTCTTACCACCTAACATTTCGCGCACATTTTTTGAGCAGGAGGAAAAGGTCAGTATGATAGTTTTTCGTCGAACAATTATCCTATAGATACTCAATTCTTCTCAATAGTATAACTCTAAAATCGAACTTAATCGTTTCGAGGAATACAGTGGTTAATTCAATGTCCATTCTGCCGTGAAACTGTTTTTCACCCTTTCTCTGGCTTGTTTATCTCGAAATCTTGCCTTTCTCCCCAGATTAAGTTAATGATTAATGAAACTAAGAATACTTCCGCGAATGAATGGCGCTTTGATGAAGGCTGTGAAAAATCGCCTTCTGTAATAATTTTAGCTTTCTTCTCCGGTACGTCTTCGTTGAGAAATAAAATACACGCACTTCAACTATAAATTTAAATCAATATAATGATGCCAGTAAGATTGTGTTTTGAAAATAAGAATATTCTATCATTTAGTTATACAAAGGAAAAAAAATTCAGCAATCGGTTTGAATTCTGATTTTTTTCCACATTATTTTGATGGTACACTGTTTGTTTACATTTCATTATGCAAATAAATATAACATTTTGGCGTTTTAAAGAAAATCTAGCCTAACTCCCCAACCCCAAAATAGCATGAAATGAAACGTTATCGATATACCTTTTAAATAAATCCTGGCTTCTGTTGCAAAAAAATCGCATTTATTCCTAAATGATACCATTTTGTGGATACTACATTTGTTGATATGCTAATTTGTGAGACATTTCATTCAGGAAGGATGTTGACTGAGACCAGCTTCTCCTCGTATAGAACCACATTCTTGTTTAGTGCATCAGTTTCTGCTTGATAATTCTTCCATGATGTACAACGTACATAAGGGGTTCATCTGGATACAGTAAAAAGCTCTCAACAGAAACATTAAGAACAGACAAATTTATCCATCCATTTGTGTCATGTTTGTTGTCGCATCCCAGCTCATTTGGGTCCTTTAGCAGAAGTATTTATTTTTTGAGGAAACGGCATT